GGGTGGATGGATGGGTGGATGGATGGGTTGGTGGGTGGATGAACAAACAAATGAACAGGTGAATGGAAACCCGTAAATCAGAAGCTAGAGAGTCAGGCACCATCTCCCTGATTGGAAAGTCACCACCATCCATTCCTCTGCTTCTCTGGCTGTGCCACCATCTTTCCCTGAAAGTCACCCCAAGTACCTGTCTTCCCATCTGCTGAAAACCTTACTTGCAAAAATACCATAGTTTAGAAACTCCCAACGACAACTTCAGGTAAAACTACATTTTGGGGGTGGATCAGAGCATCCAGAGGCTGCTTCTCCCCGATTTGGTCCCTGCCCTGCCCCCAGAGCCTCTGGCCTGGAGACCAGGGAGCAGCCAGCGCCCTCTGCTTCTGTGCAGCTCAGGGAGGGTCGAGCAGACCCAGCCTCTGAAGCCCGCAGCCTGCTGAGCTGGTGACCCACCGCCCCTCGCCTGGCAGAGCTCACTCCCAAGACCTTGCCCCTGGGGCCCAGCCCCTCCCCACCTCTTTTCTGGGACTCAGGAGGAATGCCTCAAATGGCCAGCCTGGCTTTTAGAACAGCAGGCAGAGACAGCTGGTTGGCTGAAGTGGGTGGGGAGCTGGGAGGGGCTCTAGGCCCAGTGGGAAGGGTTCTAGGAGCAAAGCTGTCCCAAGGGGAGACAGGCAGGGACCAGGAGCGCTGTGGGTGACTAAGCAAACCTCCTCCTCACCTTGAGCCCCAGGACTGGGAGCCCCAATTGGAGCTGGAGGGGCTGCAAGGCCTGCTCTCTGCCCGGTCATCTCATGGTGATGAGACAGCCCCGCAAGGGAGGGAACATGGATGGCACACATGTGCTCTGCCCAGGGACCAGGCCAGGCACTCCAACCTAGGAGGGGTCAGGCCCAGAGCGGCCCTGCTCGTCTCACTGCTGTATCCAGCTCTGGCCTGGGGTTCTGCGAGCAATCAGCTCTGGCACGAAGGAAGGAAGGAGTCATCCCGTGCAGATGAGGAAACTGAGCCCCCGGTACCCCAAAGCAGGGGATGCGGGTGCCGGGAGGGCCTGCAGGTCAGCGCTCCTGTGAGCTGCCTCAGGCCCATGGGGCATCTGCCTATGCCCTCCTGGTGGTTGAGACTGAGAGTGATCGCTGCCGGGACTCACACTAGCGAGAGGCCAAGCCCCAGGGCCTTTCAAGGGCGCAGGAGGGGCTCCACCTGCACTAGGGCCAGCCCTGCGCCTTCCCACAAGTAGGGTGGCGCCTGGGCCAGTAGGAGGGCTGTCCTGGCCAGCGCCGGCTCTCCCCAGCGACCTGGTCCCAGCACCCTCGGCCAGGGCAGCAGCAGCGACGAGTGCCTGGCGGGAGGGCAGCGGGGGAGAGTTCCCAGAGGGGGAGTGTCCCCTCCGCTGCCCTCCCGCTCCCCTGCCCAGACCTTCCAGAAGGGGCCTCCACCCTCCTCGTGGGCAGGGCCTGTCCAGTGCCCATTTCTCACAGGTTCCAGGTTGTCACCTCCAGGGGGTGTCCTGAGTGGGGGAAGGAAGGAGAGGCCCTCAGGGAGGCTGGCCAGTTCTCTAACCATGGAGGGGGCACACAGCAGCCTGTGCAGGGGTCGGGGAGGAGGCTCAGAGCTCCGTCCCCAGGGGCGAGGGGTGCGGTGAGGGGGCACGAGTGTCATGGGGCTCGTCCAGGCCCAGGCTGGAACAGAGGGCCATTCTCTCTGCTTGGGACTGGGGCCTGAGTTGCGGAACCGCAGGGCCAGGCAGGGAACATGGGGGGCAGGCCAAGAGCAAAGCTAGGTCGGGTCACCTCACACCTGGCCCTGAGCAGCCTCCAGCCCCGCCACCCCAGGCCCCAGCCCAGGAGAGACAAATCAGGGTCACACAAAGTATTAAAAGACACCTCTTTACTGTTACGACGTAGCCTCGGTGCTCCACCTGAGGGGCGGCCAGAGCACTTCCCGCCAGGCGCCCTCAGCCTGCTGCTGTCGGCGGTCACTTGGCACTCGGGAACGGCCGCCTGCGCTGCTCTAGCAGCTCCTCCAGGTGGTCGGCCCTCTTCATCGCGGCCTGCAACAGGCCGTCCACCCTGGTCAGGCCCGAGCCACCCCCGCTCCCCCAAGGAAGGCCGGCGTGGGGACCCACCTCGTGCTGCTTCCGGAGGCTGCTCACGGCCTCCTCCTTCTTTGCCAGGGCCAGCTTCACCCTGCGGGGGAGCGCACGGTGGGCCTCTGTGCGATGCCCCTGCCGGACCCCCACGCCGGCCTGCAGCTCTGAGTGCAGCAGGGTGGCCGGTGGGGGGCCTCCATCCCCCAAAGAACAGGAGGGGCCACTCCTGCCCACCTTGTCCCGCCCTGCTGACTGCGGCACTGGGCCACCTGGAGAAGCCAATGACAGGATCTGTGACCCCACGGCTGACCCCGTGTGAATCCACGCCCCTTGGGAAGGGCTCCCTGCTGAGAGGAGGACGAGAAGCCCCCACCACGTGCCTGCGTTGCAGAGCACCCACGGAGGGCAGGCAGGTAGGGACCAGGGAAGGACTGAGGGATCCACGGCGACAGGGGGAGTAGGGGGTGGAGGGTGTCCATCCTTTCTGCATAGCACCCACTCCACCCAGGCCCAGGGGGCTAAGGGCCAGGGAGCTCCTCTCCGGACGCCCACACATAGGGCACCCGCCCTGGCTGGGGTTGGCTGGGCTTCTTCCCAGGCTCTGGGGCCAAGCATCACATAGAGGACGACAGAGCCTCAAACACAGAGCCTGGAGCAGCTGCGGTGATGGGGCCCAGTTCTGCGTCGGCAGGAAGCTGGCAGGAGGGCGCACAGCCTGCTCACCTTCCTGGGCCCAGCGTCCTCTTTGGAGCCACAGGGTCCCGCCTGCCTCCCCCAGCCCTGTGCTTCCCAGGACCCCAGTCAGCCCTGCGGCCCACCTCCCGTGAACCTCCTCCAGCTCCGCCTGCTTCTCCCGCGTGAGCTGCTCCAGCTCCAGCCGCTGGCGGGCCCGCAGCTCGGCCAGCTCGGCCCTGACCTGCCGGTTCTCCTCCTCAGAAGCTGCCAGCCGGTCAGCGAACTCCTGGCGAAGGACCTGGGCCAGGCTGCTGCGCTCGCCAGCCAGCTGCTCATTTACCTGGGGTGGGGTGGCGGGGGGGACGACAGGGACGGCGTGAGGGGACGGCGGGGGCTGGGGGCTGGTGGTCGGCCACCCCTCCCGCCTGCTCACCGCCTTCACATCCGCCAGCTCCTTCTCCTTCTGCCGCACCAGGCCCTGCAGACGCACATTCTCCCCCTCGGCCTCCCCAAGGCGCCCCTTCAGCTCTGCACACCGTTCCTGGAGCTTCCGCTCCGACTGTTCCAGTTCTGAGAGCTCCGCCTCATACTTATCCCGGAGGCGTTTGACCCTGGGGGCGGGAGAAGCAGGGTCAGAGGCAGCCCCGTTGCCAGTCTCTGGGCCTCGCTCCGGGGTTCTCGGGGCCTCACCGGCTCTCGGCGGCCCGCTCGTTCTCCTCCCTGGCCAGCGTCATGTCGGCCTCCAGCCGGTGGATGACCAGCTCGATCTCCTTGTCCCGGCCTCTCCGGATCTCTTCCTTCAGCTCCCGTTCCCGGTTCAGCAGCCACGCTTCCTGCAGGGGAGGCCCAGGGGGTTTGGGGGGGCCGGCTGAGGTTGGCGGAGGACGAGGGATGGCCACATGGACTCTTGGGAATGCCCTGATGGCAGGGAAGGAGAGGCCTCGCACTACCCCAGGCCCCACCTGTCCTCAGGGGTGGAGGCCACGTCCTGTCATCAGCACCCAGCGTGGGACACAACAGGGGCTTGAGTAAGAACCATTAGCACAGCCTGGTGCTTCTCCCCCGCCAGAGACCTGGGACCAAGGCCACAGAGACCGCGTCTGCTGCCAAACTGACCCTCCTGATACAAGAAGGGACCTCATCTGGTTGCTGAGGGCAGGGCCGGGTGCCCCCAGCTGGGGGCAAGAGCGTCAGTGGGGCAGCCTGTTGGAAGGCGACCTGGAAAGCGCCGTTAGGTTTAACATGCCGCAACCTTTAACTCGGCGAACAGTCTGGGAACGTGTCCCACAGATACGGGGACCCCGCCACGCGTGGCTGGGGGTGGGGAGTAGCATGGCTGCTGGGCCACTGCTCAGGCTTTGTCCCCAGGCTGATGCCTTGTGTGGCCCCAGGTGCCTGTCCACCACAGCCTCCTTCCAGGACAGGAGAGGTGACACAGCACACCTGGTAAAAGGCATGAGAGGACAAGGAAAAGCCTGCTCCTGCGTGGGCCCCTTACACTGGCTGCAGGTCAGCCTGTCAACTTTGAGAGCAGCTACCTGGGCGAGGGGAGGGTGAGGAATGCCCGCCACCATCAAGTGGGGTTCGCTCCAGCCTCCTGGTCTCTCCCGAGGCCACCTGGAAGCTCACTCAAGTACAGTCAGAATCACACCGCCAGCCCTGGGCAGCCAGAACCCACATGTGCCCGAGGGGAGGCCACAGAGGTGGAGCCTACAAGCCAGCTTTGAAGCCTGGGGTGCCGGGCAGGAGGGGAGAGAGGGAAGGAAGACCCCACCCCCTGCCCCAGCTTCACCCGCCTCCCACCTCCTTCTTGGCGGAGTTGGCCTCCCACATCTGTTTCTCCACCTCCAGCTGGTCCTTCAGGGCCTTCAGTTCCATCTGGGGGCCAGTGACAGGGTGAGAGCAGCCCCCGCTGGCTGCTCCCCACCCAGGGCAGTGTCTGCAAGAGCCTGGATGGGGCCTGCGGTCAAGTTGGGGGTCTGTGGTGAGCTAGCTGGGGAGCCCCGTCACAGGAACCCAGGCTCAGCGTAGCACTCCAAGTGGCTGCCACCCTGGCAGGTGGGCGCTGCTCCTGGTAGTGGCCCCTCTCCACGGGTGGTATGGGTGCTCTGCTGCTGGGCTGGCCTGGAGGGGCGGGGCCCGGGCGGGATGGGGCGGGGCTGACCTGGTGCCTGCGCTCCTGCTCCTCTCTCCCCTTCTCAAACTCGGCCCTCAAGGCCCGGCCCCCTGCCGAGCTGCTCTCCTCCAGCTGCCGCCTCAGCTCGTCCAGCTCCGCCCGCTGCCTGCAGGTGAACAGAGGCCAGTTCTGTCAGGCTGGGCGGGGTGGGGCGGGGCTGGGCGGGGCGGGGCGGGGGCCCTCCCCTCCCCGCGGTACCTGGCGGCCTGCTGGCCCAGCCGCTCCTTCTCCTCGGCCACCTCGTTGTAGAGCCGCCGCCGATGCTGCTGCAGCGCCCGCTGCTCCTGCTCCAGGTGCTGCTCGAAGCTGCGGACACAGGACCCGCTGGAGGTGGGGCCGCCGGAGTGCTGGAGTCCCCGCCCCATCCACCCCAGCCGCCAGCCGGGCACGCCCCTCAGAACTGAACTGTCCAGTACAGCCGCATCCCTCGGTGTCCTACACCGCCCCATTTTCTCTGTCCTCCGAGGGAGGCCACTGCGGAGGAAGTGCTGTTCGCTCCGGGGGGGTCTGCGCACACCCCAGGCCTCACCCCCACCCTCCACGTCCCCAGAGGGCTGGGCCCCTCACCGCTGCTGGGCACGCTCCCACTCCTGACGGCCCAGCGCCTCCTTCTCCCGCTCCAGGTGCTCGCGGAGCTCCTCCGCCTGGCGTCCGTAGCGCTGGGCCGCGCGCTCGTCTGCCTGCAGCAGCTCCACCGCGTGCAGGCTCTTTAGCTTCTTCACCTCCTGCTTGTGCTTGGCGATCAGTTTCTGGATCTCAGGCTCCAGGCCTGGGGGGCGTGGAGGGAGACCGTGCTGCAGGGACCCTCCTCCACCACTGCGGGGGCGCTGCCCCTCGCCCCTCTGTACTGTGGGGGACCCCTGACCTCTACCCACCATGACACCAGGGCTGCAGTCCGGGTAGAGGACCCCCCCACCCCGGGCTCCAGCCCAAAGCACAGCTGAGTCCACCAGTGCCCATGGCATCTCTCCCTGCCCACTGCACCAAGACTCCCTCCTTGGTGCTCTGGCCTGCTGGGTCTCCCACTGGAGGAGGGGGCTCACTGGAGAGGGTGTCCTGGGGCAGGAGGGCCGGGCATGGGCAGGCACAGCTGGGGCTGCCCCATCAGCCCTCAGAGGGATCTCAAAGTGGGAGAGGAGCGACTGTGCCGCCAGCAGGCGGCCCCCACCCCGAACCCCCATATGGCTCGCTCCCCTGGAAGCTGGAGGAGACCAGGAGACCCAGCAAGGGGAGCCCAGCCAAGGGAAGGTGAGGCCCCCCAACCCGGACCGGGCCCTCTGTCTGGACGCTGGTCTGTGGCCAAGCTCGTGTGCCGCCAGCCTCCCTTGCTCCTCCTGGCCTCGAGCCAGCTGGGCCGCATCCCTGAGTCTCACTGCTTCCCAGGAAGCCTCTCCGCCACGTGTGCAATTGGAACTACTGTTCTCACTCGAGACCCCCACGATTACTCCACCCGAGTGGCAGCTCTGGGCACAGCGGCACCCACCTTTGACCGTGATCTCCTTGATCTTCCGGGTCTTCTCATTGATCCACTTTTCCCTGCGGACTTTTTCCGTGGCGCTCATGAGTTCTTTGAGTTTCTTAATCTCCTACCAGCAAGGAAACAAGAGTCAACAGAGCAGCTGTGCGAAGCGGGAAGATGCAAATGACAGCCCCCTTCTGGCCATCCTCTGGGTTTCAGGAGGCGGCCTTTCAACAGTGACCTCGGGCAGAGCAGGAAGCACCAGGGGCTGCGGGTCGTTGTCTGACGAAAGCCAGGAGTAGTAAGTGGCATCCCTCTGACCAGGGACCAGAGCGGCGGCATGTCCTCGGTCACCTCCTCTGAACCCCACCTTCTCATCTGTGACATGGGAGGGGCCACGCAAGTCCCTCAGTCCCTGCCCCGGGGTGTGCCACCTGCTGGGCTTGCGGGAAGCAGCTCGGAGGTCGGGGAATGAGGCTCCGGGGCCACCTGTCCTGGGGTTCCTCGCACAGGGCCTGCAGGCACAGCAGGCCTGGGGTCAGGTGTCAGGAGGGCGAGGGGCTCACCAGCTCGTGCTGCTCCCGCATCTGGGCCTCCTTGTCCTTGAGCCTCTGGTCCCCCTGCTTCAGCTCGGCCACCAGGGCCTCACACTTCTCACCCAGAGCCTTCTTGTCTTCGATCAACTGCGACCAGGGGCGGAGGTGAAGCTGCTGCCCCACGAGGCCAGGAGATCCCGCCTCCCCTCACCCGGGGGCCAGCGCACCAAATCCCCAAACATCCCGCTGCTCCTGGGTCTGTGCGGGACCCTGGGTCTGGGAGGGTGTGCACACATGGACAAGGGGCTGCAGCTGCCCCTGGCCCTCAAGCCCCCTGAGACCTGGCTGGTGTCAGCAGAGCTCAGGCAGGGACGGTGCCTTGGCCACAGCCCTCCACTGTGGCCACATCAGGAGCTTCCTGGAATGGGGGTCATTCTTTTGACCCCGTCACCTGGCCTGTGGAGAAGGGCCTGCCCGTCGCCTGCCAAGGGGTCTCTGTGAAGCCCCAGGATGGCACCCAGCCTCACTGAGGGCTCCAGGCAGACCCCCAATTTGGAGACACCTATGACCACCAGGCAGAGTGTCGCTAATGATCACGGGAGGCCGCTCGGTTCCTCTGGGCGCCTGCCTCTCTTCAAAGACCCCGCACCAGAGTTTTCCTCAGAAAAGGACCCGATGTGGGGGCTTGACTGAACACAGCGTGGGGCTGAAGCTTCCACCACCCTGTCAAGGGAGCTCTGGCTGCCCCACCAGCCCCAGCAGACCAGGAGTGGCCTCCCCGGGACACGGACAGTCTGGAAGGCACAGGAAAGTTCAGGGTGTGTCCTGCTGGACGCCTCCCACCAGGCCCCCAGAGGACCAAGCGGTCCTCTGAGTGATCCCACATGCCTGGACCCCACCCTGGATGTGCTCTGCCCAGCAGCTCCTGCTGCCCGCCCACCATGCTGGGCTGGGGAGCACGGCCATGGGTGGGGGGAGGATTATGGCTGGGGGGAGCATCGCTGGGGGCTGGTGAGCAGCACCCAGTGGGGCTGGTGTGCACAGACAGGACCAGCCCTGGTCCCCACAGGGGAAGATGCTGCCCGTTTCTACAGAAGGAGAAGGAGACCCACAGGGGAGGCCAATGGCTCCAGAAATCTCCATGAGGCCCGAGCTGGTCGGGAACCCAGTCCCGTTCTCTTCCCTGACTGCTCAGGTCCTGATAGCCCTGCCCTCAAGCCCCGCCTCCCAGGCAGCACCACCTGGTCGATGAAGGACAGGTGCCGCTGTATGGTGGCCTCGTAGTGCTCCTTCTGCTGCCGCAGCTGCCGACCCAGCTCCTTCTCCGTCTCTTTGACCCGCCGGATGGTGAGGTCGCGCTGCTGCGCCTGTGGGGGGTGCGGGAGATGAGACAGAGATGAGGCCCTCAGGGGGCGGCCGGGCACTTGCTCCAGCTGGGGACATGGGGACGGAGGCAGTGCTGGTGGCGACGTTACCAGCGCCCTCTGCAACAGCACCATCGCCTGCTTCTTCTCCTCCACTTCCAGCTGCAGCCGCATCACCGATGTGCTGACCTCGGACGCAGGCTCCAGGCGCCCCAGCCCCTCCTCCGGCACGGGCCCCTGGAGACCCCTCCACACCTGGGGGGCCGAGGCCGGCGGGCCCTGCCCAGACTTCTCCATCTCATCCAGGAAGCTCATGATACTCTGCAGCTTGGCCTCCGAAAGCAGGGGCCCGTCCTCGCGGGGGCAAGCAGCCACACTCAGCTTCCCAAATTTCTCCAGGTTGTCGGCTGTCAGGGAGCTGGAATCGTCCTCCTGCGGGGGGCGGGGGCGCAGCGGAAGACTCTGGGCTGGCCTTCTAGGAGCTGCTCAGGGCCCCCTGGGGCAGGGGAGGGCCTGGTCTGGAGGGAGGGCCTCTCGGGCTGCCCAGACCCTGGCAGGGCATCCATCACCTGGGGGCACCACTGGCAGAGAGGTGGTGCCCACCCCATCTCCACCCCTGGGTTATTCTGGGGGTCCTAAACCTTAGTGAGCCCGGGGATGACAGGGGGGTTCAACAAGGTCCCATCTGGCCCTCGTTAGCATCCTGACTAGAGCAGGGAGGAGCCCGGTGGACTTCCCTGGCCCCCAAAGTGCCCCTGTGACCACGTGGACAGTGGCAAGGCCCACGGTCACCTCGTCAGTCCAGGCGTATTTGTCCTTGTGGTAGGCCTGGGGGCGGGGCAGCGGCTCAGGCTCCTGCTCCAGCAGCTTCAGCGTGTCCAGCAGCTCGTCCAGGGTTGCCCTGGACTTGGCCCTGCTCCCAGCAGGGCCCAAAGCTTCCAGGCCCTCGCCAGCCACGTCCTGGGAGCTGGCATCCTGCAGCAGATGGGCCATTAGAGGCAGAGACCACCAGAGAACGGTGTGGGGAGAGGCCGGGGTGAGGTTTCCTCCACACGGGTGCCTGCCCGCTCAGCCACAGGGACTGGGCTTGCCCCCCAACCCACCTCCAGGGAAACAAAAAGGGCGGCCGAGTGAGATGGGTCCGGACCTGGCCTCCTCGTCCCTCAGGCTGGAGGCACTGGCCAACACCTAACCTCTGAGCTTCCAGCTCTCTTCTGTGGGTCTGCACAGGCTCCACCCCAGTGTCCATGAAGACCCAGTGGGATTCCAGAGCAACCACTGAGACCCCAGCCCTCCGCTGGAGTGACAAGACCCATCCTGGGTGGCCTTTCCTGGTGTGAGTGACCCCACAGCCGGGGAGGGGCAGGGAAAGGGCAAGCACAGATGCACCCCAGAGCTGAAGCCGGGCAGGGAGGGCAGGAAGGGCTGTGCCGAGACCTGAGGCTTGTCCTCTGGAAGCTGCCGGGGCTCTGGCGACGAGTCGCGGGCAGGCTGGCAGGGGTCCTCCGGGCCCGCAGTGCGGAGGCCAGCCCCTGCACAAAGGAACGCAGCGTCAGCCCACCTGGGGGCAGCGAACGCGGGGGAGCCCTTGGGAAGAGGCCAGGGAAGGGGGATGCAGGCCTGGGACAGCACGTGCCACAGTGGACCGCATGGAACAGCGGGGACAATGGAGAGCCCTGACCTCCCGGGGCGAGAGGTCAGGTAGCTGGTGCAGCTGCTCTGTAGGGACCCTGTGTCCAGCTCCAGAGTAACTGGGGCACAGGTGGAGGAGCAGGGCCTGGCGTCTGCTGAGAACGACGCCCCTCCTCCACGGATGGAAGCCACAAACAGGGCAGTGGCACAGGGGGCCAGAGGACACTGGCAGAGGCCACACCTCCTTCTCAGCCACGGGCCTCCCTGAGGGAAGGGGATGGAGAGGTCTGGGCATGGGGTGTCCGCCTTCAGGGATGGCTGCAGCTGGGGTCACCATACCCGGGGTGCCTGTACATAGAGCTGGAGGCAGAGGTGGGCAGGTGGCAGGGCAGCCTCCGGGCTCTCAGACCTGCTCACCAGTGTTATTGGCCTTGCGGGTCTGCTGGGCGGCGCTCCCCGGCCTCAGGCTTGGCTCCTGGGTGGTCTGGGGCTTCCCCGGCTCCTCCGGCCCCTTCAGCAGCCCAAGGTCAGCGTTACCTGACTTCTGGGCTCGCTTCTGCTGCAGTTCCTGCCGTGGGGAGCACCTGTAAGCAACCCCGCCCAGGGGAGAGGGCGGCCCCTTGTCCTCCCCAAGCCGTGCTGCCCAAGGCCCCACACCCAGGGACTCAGGGAAGGGGGCGGCGGGGCCCCCAGGAGCGCAGTGGTGCTCTCGGCACCCGGGGGTCCTGCCTTAGCACCAGGCTCCCCATGTGGCTCAGGTCACCCCTCACCTGGATGGCTGCCCTCCGGGCCTGGCGCGCCTTCTCCTCCCGGGCCTTCCTCCTGGCCACCTCCTTCTGTTGGTGCCGGTCCAGGAGGGTCCCCTCTCCTAGCCGCTGCCGCTGCCCCTGCAGAAGCCGAGCCATGGTGGGTTTCACTGGGAAGATGGGGTTGCCCCATCCTGCCATTTCTCTGCCCCACAGAGGACAAGCCCCCCCTCTCCCAGGTGGCCAGCAGCTCCTGCAGGTGGGAGATGGCTCTGCATCCCAGCCAGAAACCCACCCCACCTTTCAGCAGGGGTGACCTGGCACCCAGGCCCTGCCAACCGAGTGACTCAGGAGGGAGGAAGCTGGGCCCCCAGATAGGGGGGACCCATGGGGCAATTCTAGGTTCAACCCCACTGGTCCGAGAAACCCTGCCATATAGCTGGACCCCTGGGATTCTCGCCCGTGCCCTCAAGGTATGGCTCACACACCCACGCTGACCTCTTGCTTGGACGCCAGCAGGTGCTCCAGGCAGGCGGCTCCAGCTCGGCGCCGTTGCACTTGATGTCGGTACCAGCGCTGGATGGTGATGGCGGCCTGGTTCACCTGGTGGATAAACCTGCCAGAAAGTGGGGCTCAGGATGGAGGCGGCTGAGCCAAGGCCTCCCTCCCCGGGTCTCCAGAAGGCCCGGCAGGCAGAGAAGCCGGCGGCTGTGCACGTGGCCCTTCTTCAGGTGCCAGCGTTCCCCAGGGAAATAGAAATGCTCATCCACACAGGTTATTCACAATTGCTAGAAACAGAAAGTAACCCAAAGGCCCACCACCTATGGGTGAGCACCGTGTGCTCCTGACAGCGACATTACTCACAGACAAACAGCAACAAACCAGGGACTCTGCAGGCCAGGCACAGGAGGCCACAGGCCAGTGCTCTAGTCAGGGCCTGCTAGGGAAGGCAAGCTGCAGGGGACAGGCTGGTGTGGCCAGGGTCTCGGCCAGAAGGGGCTGGGTGAGAGGCATGCGAGGGGATCCCAGGGGGTGACATCATTCCGTCTGCACGTGCATCAAACTCATAGACCTGTGCCCTAAAGGGGGCGTGTGCTGTTGTACGTAAACTATACTCAGTAAAGCGGGTTAAACCCAAAGCCTTCACCTTGGCTCTCAGGGACACTTTGTTGATTCACTCAGCAAAGGTGCTAATGGACCATCTAGGATGTGAGCAGTCACCGGCCGTGGGACATGCACGCAGAGGGGAGCCCTGGCGGGGACCCCCGGGCCTCACCCAGCTCGTCCCGCTTGCCCACTTCCAGGGCCCAGTCCCAAGCTCTACTGGGACAGCAGGGGTGACTGCTCAGCCAGGTGAGGCTCTCAAAGCCCAGCCTCTGATCGCTAAGTGGTTCCTGACGGGGCACAACGTCACAGACCTGGGGCTGCAGCAAAAGATCCCACCACGCCCACCCTCCGCGCTCCCCTGGGGCAAGATTCTAGGGGCGGCTCCATCAGTTGTTTGGAGTTTTTCAGTTTTATATCTTCTTTCTGCTTAATGTTTTTTTAACTAACAGTTTTACTGAGGTATGGTTTACATACTTATAAAATTCACCCATTTTGAGTATACGATTCAATGATTTTTAGTAAATTTACAGAGTTGTACGACCGCCAGCATGATCCGGTTTGAGAACGTTTCCATCGCCACCCAAAGCACTCCCCTGGCCCCAGGCAGCCACCGCTCTAATTTCTGTTTCTGCAGATTTGCCTTTCTTGACGTTTTATATAAAATGAATTGTACGTGTGGTCTTTTCAGCCTATATATCTTAAAACAACTCTTAAATGGAAATTTCTCCCACTGGTACCTCCGGGCTCCTCCCAGCCCCAGCTGCGGTCACCTCTCAGCCTCCTCCTCGGTCACCTCCTTCCGTCTGAGCTGGCCGGCGGTGCCCCCCGAGTTGTTCTGGACCGTGTGGTTGCTACGGGCCATGTTCTTTTGCGGCTTCCCGAGGCTGCTGCCCTCGCCCTCGTCCGTGGCTGCCTTGATGATGTTGCTGACCGGGAGGGCAGAGAAAGGCTCACAGCCTCCTGACAGGGCCCCCATCTCCTGGCCCCCGGGGGACGGCTCTGCCCGCAGCCCGGGGAGGTGCCTCGGCCTGGTCCTGGGGCCTTGGGCCTGGCAGGAGGCACCCACAGATCCTGTTCCCTGTTCTGACTTGCTGGTCATTGCCCGGGTCACCTACTCTGCCCCCACCAGAGCCCGTCTGGTGGCACCCAGGGTTAATGGGCACTGCATTTAAAACAGCAGAAAGGTCTCAAATGTTACAGGATCCCAGAGCCAGATGGTGACTCAAGACACCCATGGGCCGTCCCTGACCTGAGCACACTATACAGCGGATGTAGGGGTGACGGACTAGGGGCTGCTCTGCTCAGCTCAGCTCAGCCCTGCTTGAGACCCTCCTTGGCTTTGGTCTTAGCCGGGGACCGGAGACTCAGGGGGTGGCTGCGGCTTCCTCGGCAGGACCTCAGGCTGGAGTGAGCCCGGGCCCACCTGTGTGGCCCAGGTTGTGCACCGTGCAAGGCTGGAGCCAGGGCCTTACTTGAGGGAGGGAGCCATGTGATTGGAGCTCTTGGGAGGCGGCACCTTCTCCGAGGGGGTGTAGTGGTTGTGCACCATGGTGGTGACGCAGTTGCCCACGGCGCCCTTGTTGCTCCTGCCAGGAGAGACCAGGGCAGGGGGGTCAGGCTCTGGGAAACACCCCCGAGTCGTGCTGCTGATGCCAGGGCTCACTGTGGCATCGTCTCAGCGTCCCTGCCGGTGGGGCCCTTCTTGGGACCCGAGAAAGCTCCGCCAGGGCATTCCACCGAGCAGAACCCAAGGTCTGAGGGTGAAAACTGCGGCCCCTGACTTCGGACATGCCTGCGACAGGGTGGGGGAACGGTCACAGACCAGTCAACAGAGAAAGGACCTCCCCTGCCAGTTACATGTGATGGATGGAATACACACTGTTTTCTCTCTGCCCCTCTCAAACCCGCCAGAAGGAATAAAAAATGTACAAACACAAGGATGAGAAGACGAGACAGCGGCAAAGAGATGTCCACAAAGTTCTTGAGGACGAGGAACAGAGGGCCCAGTGGTGACTGACTCGCAAAGTGAGTGAGGGGAAACCTGGGTGCCGCAGGGGCCATGAGGTGGCTGGTCTGCACCCCAGAATCCAGGGAGGTGCGGGAAGCAAGGGCACCTGGCTCTTCCAAAGCAGCAGCTGCGCCTGCACCCCCTTCCTCACTGAGCATCAGGCCAAGCCCGCCCTGCCCCACCCCTCCTCCTGCAGAAGACAAGCAGCTAGGTCTCCAGGTGAGAGTCTGTGCACTGGACCAGGACACCCCCAGCCCTTTCCTGCCAGCCCGCAAATAACCCCACGGGGGAGACAGGAGGATCTCTCCCTGGAGACACTGGGCAGCCCCAGCAGAAAAGTCCCAGATGCAGACAGGTGGGGAGCCCCCAGCACAGCAGCCTGGTCCCCACACAATCACCCCAAAGTGAAGCCTCCAGGCAACTTTTAGGGCCTCCCTCTTAAATTCTGACAGAGCCAGTATTCCAGACATTTGGGGAAAGACCCACATGTAAAAACTCAACAAACAAAATATGATGGAAATAAGGCCAAGCAAAGAACAGGACATTTCAACAAATGTACACTCAGTGTCAGGCTGTGCTGATAAATCTTTAACAGCCAAGTCTCTAGAGAGAAAAGCTCTTATCTGCAGCATCTGCCACTGTCAGTGACAATAGTTCCCACCATGGCTGATTTCAGACACCCTGGAACCAGAGCCGGGCAGAGGAGGACAGTCGGCCTAGTGAGCCGGTGCCGGCAGCTCCAGCCGCCGCTGCGTGGAATCCTCAAACACGTGAGAGACGAAACAAGAACAAGATGCTACGAAAGAGGAAGGATGGAGAGACACTCGAGAACAAGAGGAGCTACAGGAGAAGAAACAGAGCGAGCAAAGGGTTGAAATACACAGTTAAGTGCATCTATCAGAAAGCAGATCCCAAAGCTGAAGAGGAAGAAAAGGGAAGACGCCAACTTTGTAGAACCAGCCCAGGAGGCCCAACGTGCAAATAACCGCAGTCGCAGAAAGAATGGGAAAAAGAAAAGGGAGAAAACTGTCAAAGAAATGACAAGAGGAAATTTCCTAGGACCGAACAGCACAAGTGTGCACATGGACCAGCCACCAAAGCCCAGTGTGATGAGTGAAAGAAGCACGTCGAAGGCCTGGCCCTGGGACCTTCCACAACAGAGAAATGAGAAGATGACTCAAACTGCTTCTAGAGGGAGGAAAACAGACACGTGAAAGGACTGGGGATCAGGAAGGCAGTGAATTCACAACAGCTCTCCACGGAAACTGAGCAATTGCTTCAAGATGTCAGGAAGGCTTTCCAATCTAGAACTCAGCGCCAGCCAAACTCTCAGTCGGTGGAACGGTCACGGCATGTTCAGGCACACGTGGTCTTAGAAACTTTACCTCCCACACATCCTTCCCGAGGAATCTACGGGAGGATGTGCTCCCCGAGAGATGGAGGAAACGGAGGGCCTACCAGGAGGGAGGGGGTAGCAGAGGGAGGCCAGCTCGGACCCAGGCAAGAGAAGACAGGGCTCCGAGAGGTTTCTCTGGAGGAAGGTGGACGGGCAGGGCACCTGCTGGCCTGCTGGAGGGGAGTTCTAAGGTTCTCTTGCCAAGTCTGGGAGAAGAAGTGACCCACACACAGACGACGAACCAAGAAGGAAAACAAGAGATCATTTTTAACTCCGGTAAAAACAAAAGTGTGCCCCAAACATCAACAACGTCTCTTGAGCAGATTCTGCTCTGAGGTTCACATCCTGGATTCCTCAATCCTCCTGACTCTGAGGGGCAAACACAACCATTATCCCCTTGGTATAAATGAGGATCCTGGGGCCCAGGAGGGTTAAGCAACCTGCCCACAGAAATGTTCCAAGGCACCCTGGTCCAGACACAAGTAAGACAAAGCGGCCACCCCCGGGAGCTCTGGGTGGGCAGGGCCGTGTGGCCCTGCAGCCGGCGCACCTGTTGTTGGCGGTAAAGTTGGGGGCCAGGGGCACCGTGCACTCTCTCCTCCGTGGGCCCACCGGCACGTCGAGGGTGCCAGGACTCTGGGCATCGGGTGGCAAGGTGAAGGCCCTGGGCTGGTCATCCTGCACATAGACGACAGCCTGTGACCTCGCTGCACACGCCACTGACACAGGGCCCCTGCCCTGCCCCCACTGTCCCACACACACATGGGGAGCGGTGGGATGGCCTAAGGGCTGGGACATTCTTTGCTGCTCCTTCTTACGTTGACCGCTGTGGTCAAAGCTGGCTAACTAACACTGATGCCCCCCACCCCCTGCTGGCCCACCCTGCAGGGGCAGCGAGAACGAAGCCGGAACCAGGTGTCACTCCCAACGGACATGGGCCGCGTGACGTCCTGTCCGCTCAGCTCAGCTGCAGCCTCACCAGGACATTCCACGTGGCTCCCTTCTCGCTGGAAGCTTTGCTCAGACCGGCAGGCCTCTTTCTCCCACCGGGGCTGCCCTCGAAGAGTGTCAGGAAGTCCGGGGGCTCTTCTGGCCTGTGTCACAGAGAGGACAGCAAGCAGGGATAGTCACTGGGCCCGGGGAGCCCAGCTCCAGGAACCCGGACAGGGGTCATCTTATGAGGGGACAGGAGGGACCAGGTCACCGGTGGGGACTCCTGCTCCCCAGCCCACAGCATAAAATATCATTTGTCAGCCCCGATCTGACAACCGCGCCTGGAAGAGGTGCTCACACCTGTCCTGTGGCCACCACAACACCTCAGGGAAAGCGCAGCAAGGACAAAGAAGAGGTGCAGGCAGGGGGATGGTGGCCTTGAGGTCCACATCCCTGCGCAGGAAATGACGGACCAAGACTCATCCCACCCGCCCCGCCCAGGGCTGGCCCCCCGTCCAGCCAGCGCTCACACCAGTGAAGCTGGGAGAAGGGCTAACAGAGGGAGGAGAGAGCAGGCCGGGGGTACCTGAGGGGTCAGAGGTTACCTTAGGGGGCCAGGCCATGCCTGGTTGGCTTGTGGCTGGTTGACCTGCGTGGCACTGTTAGATCTGCGAAGGTTGCTGATGGCCCGGGAGCCTCCGGGCCCTGGGGCCTCCTGCCAAAAGGAGGGAAGCAACCAACCATGTGGCCAAGGTTTTAGACCCTTGCCAGTCCACGCGGCACCAGGCCAGGCGTGGACACAGATTTAGGGAGAGGCCCTCCTGGGTCACACGTAGACAGGTGGGCAGGGGAGCAGCATGGGGGTCCTGGGTTTGACCTGCTGAGCGGGGGCAGGTCCTCGGCCTCTCACACGAAGTGGGAGCTCCTCACCCCTGGCAGATGGAAGGTCCGAGAGGAAGCGTGTGAGGCCCGCCCAGGAGCCGCAACAAAGGCTGGCCATACTCCTCATCACCTTCTAACCAACGAGCCTGGCCGCTCACTCCCCCTGCAGCTCTCGTCCCGCAGCTCCCGTGGCCATCCTGCTGCCCGCCTGCCCTGCCCTGCCTGGTATCTCAAGGCCACCAGGAGCTCCTCCTTCCCCACACATCAACCCCGTTTACAGAGGAATCACACAAATCCAAATGTTGCTGGAACAGGAGGGACAGAGGGCTTGGTGCCGGCAGGATCTAGGCTCTGCCCGGGGCCAGCCGACCCCAGTCTTGACCTCTTGGTGAGTCAGCTCCCTGGTCTCCAAGCCGGAGTCCTTCCTGCCCCGGGGTGGCCCCAGGGATGCACCGGATGATGGACATGAAGGTGCCTGCTGAGGTGTGGAGCTTACCCAGGAGTCAGACGCCACCCCGAGGTAGGGGGCCCTGGACACCCCTGGACCTGAGGCCCAGCCCTAACACTCACCAGCATCTTCCTCCTTGGCTCGCTGCCAGTGACCACAGAGATGGAGCGGGCGATGGGCTTGGCGGTGGAGGCACTGTTGGGACGCCGGGACATGGGCGGAGGGAGGCCTGTCAGACTCAGGTCCATGCTTTCCGGGCTGCCCTCGGGAGGGCCGGAGGGGCCGCTGAGGGCCCTGGAGCCTTTCATGGTGGACAAGTAGGCCCTGAGCAGGGAAGAAGGGATGCGAGGAGGTGTCCTCCGAGGAACCAGATGCGCACACATAACCTCTGGCTCGGCCGCAGGGGCCCAGGGTGCCTGAGTCTGCCTGCCACCCAGCTCCCCAGAAGCCTGCCACGCCCACCACCCTCCTCACTGGGTGGCCATCTCCTCATCAGGAGCAGAAGCGAGTGACAGAGTGGGACCCCGAGCACAAACGGCTAAAGGAGGGCCTCCTGGGGTCAAGACGACCTTCCCCGGAGGGGCACTGCTGGGGGTGGCTGGGGGCTGCGGCAGTCATGGCTGTGAGCCCCCACCCTGTGGCAGGTACTCCACCCGCCTGGGCCACATATGCCTCACCTGTAAAATGGGCCTTTAGAAGTGCCTCCCCAGGGGTTATCATGAGGCTCAGACAAGACGGCTGTGAGGCTGGCACATGGTGAGCACCCCACAGGCGATATTCTAACTGGGGTTAGGGCCCCCAAACTTATCTGACCACAAAACCCCCTCCATCTCCTCAGAACCACCCAGAATATCCACGAGCTCCTGGGAGGCAGCATCTGCTCTCGTGTCCAGGTTCCCCTCCTCCCCTCCTAGGTTGGCCACCTCTGCAGCGGCCCGTGTTGGCCCTTCCTCTTCCGACTGCTCAGCCCTGGGCCTCTCTCTTCGTCCCGGGGGACTGCCTCTGGCCTCCTGGCTTCAAACACCATCCATGGGCTGCCGGTTCCCACAGGTATACCTCCCGCCCCCCGTCCCCTAGTTCCCAACTTAGCTAACCACGCAGCCCCTGGCACCTCAGACCCAAGCGGACTCCTGACCACCACCTCCAGCGCCCTTCCCTGGAGGGCATTTTCTGAAACCGGCTCAGACCGAAGATCCAGGTCTCGTCCCGACATCCTCCCCCTCACCTCCACACCTGCCCCCTCAGCAACCCAGCCGATGCCCCTTCCCCGTCAGTCCCTTCCCTCCACAACCCCCATCCGAGCCCCCATCTCCTCAAACTGGACAACCGCAGCAGCCCCTCCTCTGGCCCTGCCTGGCCGGCCCAGCCCCTCCCCGCAGGGCAGCCACAGCTGATCTTTCTGAACCGGGGCTCAGATCAGGCTATGCCCCCAGTGAAGACCCTCCGAGGACTCCCAGGCAGGGAGAATAAAGTCCACATGCCTAATGCCCCTCAGACCTGACCCTAACCTCTGTAACCTCCTCACTGCCTCCCTTTTCCCTCCTCAATCTGCTTGAGACCCTTCCCTGGGATGTCACGAGGCCCCCTTTCACTCAGAGGGCTGCCTGTCGCTGTCACTCTTCATTCCCTCATCCTGCTTCATTCTTCTTCACTTGACCACCTGCGCACACAGGTTGGTCTGTGCACTGCCTGACGCCCTCGTAAGAATGTAAGGTCCATGAGCGTGGGGACCATGCAGCCCCAGAACCCGGCACGTGGCAGGTGTTCAGGTAATAAGAGGGGGTGAGCGGCACCAGGAATGACCAGAGAGGAATGAGCACAGCCCTCTGTGCCAGGGAGGACTCTGGTGGGCCAGCGGGCACACACCATCGTCCCCCAAGGTCAGCACTGCAGCCTCCTTCAGCCCCAACACCCACAGCAGAGGCTTTGCCCCTACTCTCCAGCGTGAGGGCAGAGGCTGTCCCTGCCACTCACCAGGCCAGTGTCCTCAGTTATGCATTTCCCGTCGGGTCCTGGGGGTGAAATTTAACACCCTCCTCTCCTCGAGGCACTGGCCACACCCACGTGGACCCAGGCTGGCCCACTCAAGGAGCGTGCAGGGCTCTGGGATGGTAAACACCGCCTCTCCGTGGAAACCTCCAGGCCAGACCTCACCTTGTATATAGAGGTGTCCCTCCCAGGACCTGAAGGTGGGTGTCCAGAGTCTCTGCCTGGACCCCTCAAGATGGGCTGTCCCAGGACCCCAGGCAGCTTCTCTGCCCGGCACCTCCCCATCTCTCTGCGGTTTGGTTCAAGGTGGTAAGACCGGACTGCTGCTGACTGGTTTCCACCCCATCCTCCTGGGAAGGCAGGAGGAGCTCAATGGCCCTGGGGCATGAGCCCCTCCTCACCTGTGCGGGGACACCGATGGGCCCTCACCTGCACCCTCCCCCTCATCTGGGCAGACCCCTTTACCCGCATAAGGACCCCCCCCGGTCACCTGCGTGGACCCCCTCACCTGTGCGAGGGCCAGACCCCTTCACTTGCGCTGGCCTCCGCATCTGGGCGGGCCCAGGACCACCTCACCTGCGCGGGGACGCCCTCATCGGAACGAGGCCCCACTCACCTGCACGTTCCACCTCACCTGCGCAGCCCGGGATGCCCCTCCCTGCGCGGTCCAGGAACCCTCTCACCTGCGCGGGCCCCATCATCTGCGCAGGCCCTGGACCCCCCTTCACCTGCGAGGGCAACCCCACCAGCACAGGGATCCCCTCACCTGCGCGGGTCGGGCCTGGGACTCTGGGCCTGCGGGGCCGAACGGCGAGGGGTGCGCGGGGCCCTCCAGGCGGGGACCGGCGGGGCCCAGGCTTCGGGCCGGCGACTTCACGCCCCCGGCCCCGGCGCTGACTCCGAGGCCCGGTGACAATGAAACGGCCGGGAGGCCGGGCGAGCAGCCGCAGCTAGCAACCAGCAAACAGCCTAGCACCTCCTCCCCGTCCGTCACGGAGGCCCGCCTTTCCTGCCCGCGCCGCTTTCGAATTGGCCCTCCGGCCGCCCGCTCCGGACATCCCGGGAGCTCATTGGGCCGCTCGGCTGTCCTTCGGGAAGTTCAGGCGTGGGAGGAGCAGCAGAGAGCTGGGAGCCCGTGGTGGCGGCGGGCTGCCGATTGGACTTGGCTGCGGGAGGCGGGGTCTCAGCAGACGTGGGGGCGGGTCCTGGGCGGAGCCTGTGGGGAGGGATCGGGGAGGAGGAGTAAGGGGCGGGGTACGGGGACAGCAGCCGGGGGTGTGTGGTCGCTCCAAGCTTCTCTTTCACCCCAACTCAGCCAGCTTGCGCGGCTGCCACTGGGTCCCCGAACTCCCACGCCGTCCCCCGGCTCCCACGCATACCTCGGCTCCCACGCCGCCCCCCGGATCCCACGCGGAACCTCGGCTCCCACGCGGTCCCCGGGCTCCCTCCTTGCCGAGACCCGTCACACGTGGGTCCCGCTACCCTCTGAAAGCTCCGTTTGAGGGTCCAGACCTGCGAGTCCCAGGGAGGCCCGCCTTGGGGGAAACGTGAAGCTGTCAATAGGGTGCCCTTTCTCGGGCGGCCCTGACACTGACTCCCACACCCAGTGCGCGGTGGCGTTGCCCTTTTTGTCTCCATCTTTTCTGTCTTGACGATGCCTTTTTTTTTTTTTTTGGCCTCCTTCTCGAAAGTTTTAATCCTCCCACCTCCACCCCCGCACCTGGGGGTTGTTTCCTATTATAACCCATGTCCACAGGCCCCACTGGCAGGGCCTCTCCTCCTTGGTGTCCCAGGTGTCCCACGAACGGCACGGTGCGTCCTCCCCAGCGCGCAGGTGGACCCAGCACGCCCAGCGCCGCGCTGCTCGGTCAGATTCCACCGGTCTGTGATCCCTTCACCAGGAAAGCGCCCTCTCCTCCACGAAACTTCTGATCTCACCAACAAGTCGTCTTTCCCTTCAAAATAACAGCACTTTGCTGATTTTTGCGCCACTTTCACAAATCAAATACTTTTTTACTTTAAAATTTTTAAATTTATGTCAATAAAAATCACATTTTGGGGTGTACAGCTGAGTTTTGATGATGCCTAGAGTTGTTGTACCACCACACAAACAAGGCACAGAACATTCTCTCCCCTCCCCAAACCCTGGGCTGCCTCTGTGTAGCCAAACCCTCCCCACCCCTTGCCTCAGCCACCACTAACCTGTCCCCTGTCACTATGATTTTGCCTTTTCCAGAGTGTCGTAGAAATGCAGTCCTGCGGTGTGTAGCATTTTGGGTCTGGTTTCCTTCGCTTAGCGGTGTGAGAGGCATCCATGTTCCTCTTCATTGCCGACTAGTATTCCACAATATGCGTGAACCATACTTTATTACTCAGCAACCCAAGGACATAGGGTTGTTTGCAGTTTGGGACAATTATGAATGGAACTGCTGTAAACATTCACTTTTAGGCTCTTGTATAAACATAAGTTTTCATGTCGCTTGGGTAAATAAATACTTAGGAGGGGACTACTAAATTGTATGGTAGGTACATGTTTAACTGTTTAAGAAACCGCTCAACTTTTCCAAAGGAGGTGTATCTTTTTACATTCTCACCAGCAGCGGCTGAGTTCCAGTTGCTCCCCATTGCTCTCACACTTGATATTACTGGGTTTTTTAATTATTATTTTTTTAAGTAATACTAATAGGTGTGTAATGGTATCCCACGTGGTCTTCAATGGCATTTCCCTAATGATGTCGAAAATCTATTCATGCGCTTCTCTGCCCTATATTCATATACCTTCTTTGGTGAGGTGTCTGTCCAAATCTTTTGCCAACTTTGTAAACTGGGGTTTTTGTTTTATCATCGAGTTTTGAGTGTTCATTATATGTTCTCGATACAAGTCCTTCCTGAGGACTGTGATTTGCAAACATCTTCTCTAGTCTGTGGCTTGTCTTTTTGTCCTCTTCACTGTGTCATTCAAAGTGAAGTTCTTCAACTTTGATGACGCCCAGTTTTTTCTATTACAGTTTGAGCTTTTTGTATCTCATAGACGCCATTGCCTAATCCAAGGACAGAACATTTTCTGCTAGGTTTTCTTCTGGAAGTTTTACACTTCGGTCTGTGGCTCACTTTAAATTTTGTGTAAGAGGGGCTTCCCTGGTGGTGCAGTGGTTAAGAATCTGCCTGCCAATGCAGGAGACATGGGTTCGAGGCCTTGTGCAGGAAGATCCCACATGCCGCGGAGCAACTAAGCCACAACTACTGAACCTGCGCTCTAGAGCCTGTGAGCCACAACTACTGAGCCCATGCACCACAACAATTGAAGCCCACATGCCTAGAGCCTGTGGTCTGCAACAAGAGAAGCCACCGCAATGAGAAGCCCATGCACCACAATGAAGAGAAGCCCCCGCTCACCGCAACTAGAGAAAGCCCATGCAGCAACAAATACCCAACACAGCCAAAAATAAATAAATAAAATAAATTTTAAAAAACACTTGTGTAAGATATGAGATGGGGCCAAGCCTCATTCTTTTCTTCCAGTTGTTTTAGTACTATCCGGTGAAAGTCTATCCTTTCTCCATTGAATTACCTTGACACCTGTGGAAAACCAATTGACCATATCTGTGTGGGTCTGTTTCTGAACTGTCTGTACTGGTTCATTGATCTGTGTCTGAACTTTCACCCATCTCACACTTCAAATCAGGTACTGTGAGCCTTCTGTGTTCTTTTTCAAAATCACCTTAGCTATTCTAATTGCTTTGACTTTGGCTGTAGCTTTTAGGATCAGCTTGTCTCCATCTACAAAAAAATCCAAGGTGAGTTTGATGGGGATTATGTTAAATCTATACATCAATCTGGGGAGAATTGACATCTTAACAGTAAAATTTTCCAATCTGTGAACATGGTATATCTCTCCATTTATGTAGGTCTTCATTGATTTCCTTCATCAGTCTTTTGTATTTTCATCATATGGAGCCTACATATATTTTTTAGATTTATACCTAATTATTTCATTTTTCAGATGCTATCGTAAATAATAGTGTTTTTTTTGTTTTTCTTAAATAAATTTATTTTATTTATTTTTATTTTTGGCTGTGTTGAGTCTTCGTTGCTGTGTGCAGGCTTTCTCTAGCTGCAGCGAGCAGGGGCTACTCTTCCTTGCAGTGCATGGCATTCTTATTGCGGTGGCTTCTCTTGTTGTGGAGCACGGGCTCTAGGCGTGTGGGCTTCAGTAGTTGTACCATGTGGGCTCAGCAGTTGTGGCACACGGGCTTCAGTAGTTGTAGCACGTGGGCTCAGCAGTTGTGGCACGTGGGCTCTAGAGCGCAGGTTCAGTAGTTGTTGTGGTGCGTGGGCTTAGTTGCTCCACGGCATGTGGGATCTTCCCAGACCAGGGCTTGAACCCGTGTCCCCTGCATTGGTAGGTGGATTCTTAACCACTGCACCACCAGGGAAGCCCTATCATAAATAATAGCTTTTTAAATGTCAATTTCCAATTGTTTATCACCAGTATACGAAAATACAGTTCATGGTATAATTTACTCTGTAGCCTGTATTCTTGCTAAACTCATTTATTAGTTTTAGGGTTTTGTGTAGATCCCATGTGATTTTCTACATAGACAATCATGCTCTCTGTGAATAGAAAGTTTTATTTCCTCCTTTCCAATGTGTTTGCCTTTTATTTTTTTCTTCATTTTGTGGCTGGAGCTTCCAGGACAATGCTAAACAGAAGTGATGAGCGTGGACAACCTGGCCTTGTTCCCAGTCTTAGGGGGAAAACATCCAGTCCTTTGCCATTAAGTATGGTGTTAGCCATGAGATTTTTGTAGATACCCTTTACCAGGTGAAAGAAATTGTTATATTTCTAGCTTGGTTTTTTAAAAAATCATGAATGAATGTTCAATTTTCTCTGTTGCTATTTCTGTGTAAAATGATAATGTGATATTTTCTCCTTTAGTGTGTTAATATGATGAATTGCACTGATTGATTTTCAGATGTTGAACCAGCCTTCCTTCCCCAGGAAAAACTCCACTTATTGTGGTGTATTACTTTTTGTATATTGCTGGATTTGTTTCGCTAATTTTTTTTAATTAATTAATTTATTTTTATTTTTTGGCTGCGCTGGGTCTTTGTTGCTGCGTGCGGGCTTTCTCTAGTTGCAGAAAGCAGGGGTTACTCTTCGTTGTGGTGCGCGGGCTTCTCATTGCAGTGGCTTCTCTTGTTGCGGAGCACAGGCTCTAGGTGCGCAGGCTTCAGTAGTTGTGGCGTGCAGGCTCTAGAGCATAGGCTCAGTAGCTGTGGCACACGGGCTTCACTGCTCCACGGCATGTGGGATCCTGCTCTGCGGACCAGGGCTCGAACCCATGTCCCCTGCATTGGCAGGCGGATCCTTAACCACTGCGCTACCAGGGAAGCCCTGTTTTGCTAATATTTTGTTGAGGATTTTTTTTTTAATCTATGTTGATGAAGGAGATTGGTCTGTAGTTCTCTAGACCAAGCGTACATGGAACATTCACCAAGATAGACTATATTCTGGGCCACTAAACAAACTTTAACAAAAGTTTGAAATCTTTAACAATATAATGGAAGTCTCACAAAATATGTTCTCTTACATCAGAGTTAAAGTAGTAATAACAAAAAAAACACACTTTAAAATAATCCATCAGACAAAAAGAAAGTCTTATGGAAAATTAGAAAATATTTTGAACTGAATAAAAATAAAATATTTCAAAATTCATGGGATGCAGCTAAAGCAGTGTCTAGAGGAAAACGTGTGGGATTCCATGCTCCCAATGCAGGGGGCCCAAGTTTGATCCCTGGTCAGGGAACTAGATCCTGCCTGCCGCAACTAAAAGAGCCCACATGCCTCAACCAAAGATTCTGCATGCCACAACTAAATATCCCACATGCCTCAACTAAAGATCCTGCATGCCACAACTAAAAAAAAAAGAAAATGATCCCACATGCCACAACTAAGACCTGGTGCAGCCAAATAAATAAATATTTTTAAAACGTTTGTATTAGAAAAGAATAAAGTTCTCAAATCAATAATCTAAGCTTTAGAAAACTAGAGAAAGAAAAACAACCAGAATGAATGAAATAATAAAGAGCAAAAATCAATGAAATAGAAAACATAAAACTAGTAGATAGAATTAAACCAAGTTAGTTCTTCAAAAAGGTCAGTAATATTAATAAACCTCTAATCAGACTAACCAAGGCGAAAAATTATCAGTAACAGAAATGACAGGTGGGACTCTATAGAAATTGAAAGAATAATGAAAAGTAGGCTAGAAAAACTCTATAGCTGGGGCTCCCCTGGTGGTGCAGTGGTTAAGAATGTGCCTGCCAATGCAGGGGACACAGGTTTGAGCCCTGGTCCAGGAGGATCCCATATGCCACGGAGCAGCTAAGCCCGTGCGCCACAACTACCGAGCCTGTGCTCTAGAGCCCATGAGCCACAACTACTGAGCTCACATGCCACAACTACTGAAGCCTGCACGCCTACAGCCGGTGCTCCACGAGAGGCCACTGCAGTGACAGGCCTGCGCACCGCAACAAGGAGTGGCCCCCGCCCACTGCAACTGGGGAAAGCCCGCATGCAGCAACGAAGACCAATGCAGCCAAAAATAAATTTTAAAAAAAAATTACTTAAGCTCGCCTATGAAGAAATAGATAACCCAAATCATCCTAAATCTACTTAAGAAATTGAACTTCATAGTTAAAAACCTTGCAATTTAGAAAATTACAGGACAAGATAGTTCCACTAGGGAGTCTTAACAAACATTTAAGGAAGAAATACCTGTCCCTGCTTTTAGAAGTCTCTCTGTGTGCCCCTTAGGGCCATTTTCACACACACACACACACACACACACACACACACACACACACAAAGATGGAAAATTAAAAAAAAAAGCAAACAGTGCAGCTTTGTGTGAACAGCAGTGTTTATGTAGGAGGTGCGACCCCAGGTCAACCCCAGTTCTTCCAAGAAGGACCACAGCCATTGCTCTGAGGTGGCCGTACAGTCTGCAGGCAGTGGTCACGGCAGGGGGGAGCTGACACGGGTCACACAGGGACCCAGTGCTGGAAAGGACCCCATCTGCTGGACGAGAAGGTGTGACGCTGCTTAGGACACCCCCGCTACCCCCGCTGAGAGAGGGATCTGACCTCAAAGACCCAAGCAGTGATTCCAAATCCACCCAAAAATCCTTGTTTCTGAGGGCCAGGCAGGCAGGGGGTTCCCCAGGGGACCCCGAGGTCAGCATTTGTGAGGCCCTGTGCCTGCCTGCTGCTATAGGAATTCAAGTCCAAATGGCCAGTCTCTGGCCAAGGAGACAGTGGGGGCAGGGGGGAATGACTGAGGTGGCCCTGCGGTCCTCCTCTCAGGCCTGTCGTCTGGAAACAGCAGAAGCTTGGCTGGGGGCCGGGCCTGGGCTCAGCCTGCAGACAGGACCTGTCTGTCTCCCCCTGGTGCCCCTCTCTGTGTGCCCGTGAGGACCCTGGGGACTGAGGACAGTTCCAAGGGGCGTCTGGTCTCTGAGCTCCGTCAGCAGGCCTTCCCGCCCACACCCTCCAGGCAGGCCACGCCATACACCCACCCCACTGTCCTCCCTTAGGATCCCTTTGGCAACTAGGAAAAGCGGGTGGTGTGCTCATCCGGCCAGACCAGATGGCTGTGAGGTGGGGGACCCGGCAGCCCAGGGCCCGCCGGCTGCCAGTCTCAGCAAGCACTCGGCTCCTCATTCTGTGCCCGTCCCGCCCTCCCTGTGTGTCCTGCGGGCTGCTTGGGGGGCTGCTCCTCGGCCATCACACCCACGGGGTGGGCTGGGGGGGGGGGTCCTGCCCCCCAGCAGAAAAATGGGGAACCCACCTCAGGGACAAGGTTGGGGAGTAGCCCCCACGGGCAAGGATGACCCTTCCAGCAGTGCCGGCCTGGCTCTTGCTGGTTCGTGGACTCCTGAAATATTATCTGTGTTTTACTGGTGGCTATTCTCGTCACTGGGTGGGCTGTCCACTCTGAGCTTACCTGGCTGGGTGGCTACCCTCACCAAGGCCTCAGTGGGTGAGGGGAGGAGGCCAGAGGAGGGCGAGGCCGACTGCAGACACCTGAGGGGAGCCACTCTTTGGTGGGACACAGAGGCTGTGGGCACATGGGGACAGCACAAAGTCACAGAGTCCTAGGAGTGAGGGGCTGGGGGACACAGACTCTGCAAGTGGCCCAGGCTGACAAGATCATGAGTTTAAGAATGCGAAAGCTGATGGCTCAGAGCCAGAAGGCTCCTTTGCTGCCACCCTCTGTGACGACGTCCAGGGAGCCTGGCAGGCTGGGAGGGGTTCTTCTGCAGCAGTCCCGGCCCCCACCAGGCGGGGACAGGCCACCAGTTCCATGCCAGCGAACAAGGAGTCACAGCTATCCCCGGGGCCCGGGTCAAGCTCTGGCCCTCTCTTTGCAGTGTCTGTGCCGAACGGGCCCCACTCGGATCCAGCCCCCTGCTCTCTGGAACCTGCCAGTCTGGTCTTGGCCTCCCTGGCATCCGCACGGGCTGGAAGGGGGCAGCCCTCCAGGGAAGTCGGGGGCACAGGGCCGGGCTGCAGCCCCGATGGGGGAGCGGTGCCCTTGGACGAAAACAGAGCTGAACTCAGAGGCTGCAGGAAACCCTGGCCCCCCGTGAAAGGCAGGGTGTCGGTCAGCAGGTCTGATGGGCCCACACGGGCGACTGCGGGGCCAGGCTCGGCTGGGGGCCTCTGGGCAGGGGGCCACTGTCGGCAGGAGGCTTCAAAGTGTCTCAGGATCTGAACGAGGGAAGAAGAGGGGAATCAGTGAGGGCTCCTGTGCTCCTCCAGGAATCTCAGAGGACATGGCCCTCCCAGTTCCCTCCTCAATGCCGCTGCCCAGAGCAGGGGGCAGGGCCGCTAGCCGCTCACAACTATTCTCGTGTCATTCCCCCAACTGCAGCGCTGCTGCTCCCCACCCACTGTCACACAAATGGACACTTTCCCGGCATCAAGCTGCCGTGTGACCTGCCAGAGCAGGAAAAGCCCCCCTGGTCAGGTGCCACACGAGCACCTGACACACACGCGGAGAGAACAGACATGTCTAAACCCCCTGATCGTTCCCACCTGCCAGACTCCTGGGTCCTTCCCAGGTTTTAGAAACACCACCGTGACATGCCCACAACGTGTTTCGTGTGTGGCAGGTTCACTAGTGCTTTGAAGAAGGGCAGTTTAGGGACAGGTGACTAAGGATCTGAATCTTCAGCCACCACAGAGGAAACCAGAAGCCGAAGGATGCTAACAGCGGGCGGAGGTGCTGGGGCCTGGCTGCTGCCGAGGGGCCCCCAGCGAAGATCCCGGGTGGCCTCCCCACATTCATCAGTGGAAAGAAGACTCAGACGAACGGAACCATTTCTGTCCTCCTGGAGCTGGGGATCTGGGAGCAGAGCTCAGACCCACGAGCTGTGACTCAGAGTGCAGAACAGAGGGACAGATGCATCCAAGCATTCGAGGAGAGCTTCCCACAGGAGACGAGCCCTGAGGGAGAGCGAGTCGCCCGAAGGGCAGAGCTGCTGGGCAGAAGGGCGGGGGAGAGGCCAGGCCCCCGACCGCTGTCCTAAGGGCATGACCTGTCCCTCCTGTCCAGCAAGGGCAGGAGGGGCGGGTCTAGGGAAGGCAGTGGAGGGTGGGGGAGACGGTGTGGGGCTGCCGAGGCGTCCTGTGCCCGCTTCTCTGGGTCCCAGAGGCTGCCCACCTTGGTGGCCTTGTTGGTCACGGGTCCAGGGCTGCCCACACTGAGCTCCTGCAGCCGAGGCCGGGCAAGGAGCAGGACTCGCTCCTGGGAGAGCAGGTCGGTGCACCCGAGGGAGGCGATGGCACCCAGGGCTCTCTGCGGGGCGGGCTTGATGTCAGCAGGGTCCACCCCCAGGGAGGGCTGTCTGACCAGCTCCCTCCCTCCTCTCGGCCCTCAGCCGAGCTGGGCGGTCCACCAGAATCCCGTGCTCACTCCCCCCTCACCCACCACCACCCCCGCTCCCCCCCTCACCATCTGCACACGCTCGCTGGTTGCGCCCAGGTGGCGGATGAGCAGCTCCAGCACGGCCTCACAGTTGAGGAGTCCACACCTGCATGTAGGGGGCACCGGGCAATGGGGCTGGGCCAGCAGAGCAAGAGGGGGGCGGTGTGCAGAGCCAGGGTGAGAGGCGGGGGGGGGGGCGCAGGGCTGGGGGGCCTGCAGTGGGTCCGGGGCTCACTCTTTGACGAAGTGCTGCACCTCCTCTCGGCTCAGGAAGCAATGTGGCCCCCGTGTCACGGCCCGGACCAGGCTCAGCTCCTGCTGGCAGTCACTCAGGATCACGGCCTCGACCCTGTCGGGGGCACGCAGGTCAGGAAAGAGAGTGGACTCCACCCATGCCAGGAGGGGTTAAGCCTTTCCGGGTCAAGTCTCCCCCATCGGGGTAGGACCCTGGAGCAGGGCAGGGAGGGGTGCCCTGGGGTGCTGGCTCACCTTTCTGCCAGGTCGCTGGGTGCCCGGCTGGCCCCTGAGGGGCTGTCACTGCCCGACGGACTACCTGAGTCCGAGGCCTTGCCCAGGTCGTCATTTTCCTGGGAAGAATCCTGAGAGTTTGGGCTGCTGTCCAGCTCCTCCCAGCCGCCTCCGGCCTGCCCAGGCTGGTGTCTCATGGCTGGAAGAAACAGTGACCAAGGGTAAGACCCTTGTGGGCCTCAGACTGGCCCCATGTCCATCTTCCAGGAGCCCTGGATGGGGAGACCCAGGGAAGGGCCTGGGGGCTGGGTCCCGAGATGTGGACAGGGTGGCCGCCTGGGCTCCAGCTCCAGGAAACACCAGGCGAGAGGAGACGGGACAGAATGGGGCACATTCTGACTCAGGGCCAGGGTGGGGGGTCCCGCACGGGACACGCCCAGCCTGGAAGATGCAGGAAGCAGTGCCAGGCACCACAGGCCAGGCGGGAGGCAGGACACGCAGGGCAGCGGGCTGGGGCAGTGGGGCGGCGCCCAGCACAGCAGCTCTCAAATCCCAGTGAGTCCTGACATTCTTCCTTCTAGCCAGACAAACGTGACAGCAGCTTCTGGGAAAGGCGGAGATCACAGACAGATGCCCCTCCTTCCTTTCTTACAGCTCACCACTAGAACGCACGTGCCACGGAGCCTGGCCCCTGTGGGGGGCTTCCCTGTTGTCCCTGGGCCCTGATGGGCTGCACAGCCGCTTGAACGCACTGGGTGAATGCACAAGAGCTGGGGCTGGGCTCCCGTCCCAGCTCAAGTCCTGCTTCTGTGTCTGAGCAGCTGGGATCCTGGGCGGACCCCGCCTTCTCGTGGGGCCTTACCACCCAAGTTCCCACCCAGAGCAGACTGACAGAGACGTCAGACAGTGCAGGGACAAGGCAGCCACCGCAGAGGCCCCAGGGAACTCGAGTCGTGTGGGCGGCCGGCTCTGTGGGGGTTCCCACGTGGCCAATGGAGCATGCTGGCTCTGAGAGATGTCGTGGGAGCGGCAGGGTGTGGCTCGTACCCCCTCCCACCATGGGTGGGCTGCTTTCTTCCTCCTCCCCCATCAGCTCCGGCCTGGCCCGAACAGGTGACAGGAAGCCCAGGGCCCTGGGAGGGGGAAGCCAGACCCCTCCAGGGGAGGAGTCTCGCTGGATACCTCGGGCACCTGGGCCGGCTGTGGGGAGAGGGTTCCCAGGGGTTGGAGGGCCGAGGCCGGCTGAAGGTGTCACAGCCGGCTGGTAGGCGTCACCTCGCAGAAGGGACCTCTGGGAGCTGGGGCTCTCAGGCCCAGGGCGCATGGCGCTGGCCACCACCTCTGCGGCCTTCTGGATGGTGGACAGGAAGGCTTCGCCTGCAGAGCCTGCACCAGAGACGGAGAGGAGACGGCGCAGCCCCTCTCAGTCCTGCCCCGTTTTCCCAGGATGAGGTGCCCCTGCCTGCTCCCCACCCAGGACTTGGAAGCAGGACACAAGCTGCAGTCACAGAGCAGAGACCGTGTGGAGGGACAGGGCCCTTCCGGAAGCTTCCGTGGTGAATTCACTTCAGTGCATCCTGGCCCCGTGGAACCTGGACGCTCGGCAGCTCACAGCAAAGCTGTGCCGCTGTGCCCCCTGGGTCCCCGCCTTGGAGCAGGGGGCCACCTGAGGTGCTTGTCCTGAGAACCACAATCTCCGTGGCCACTTAAGGAGTGCTCACGCCCAGGGTTGAAGGACCTTCCCACGAGTGCCCCACAGAGGGTGATCCGGCGGCCACCCCCAAATTAGGAACAGGTGGGGCCTCTGAGGCAGACCCACTTCGGGAATTACAAGTGCCAGGGAACTGGGAGCCGTGACCACACAGTCAGCACAGCAGCCTGACACGGCCCAGTGGCCCTGCTGGGGCCTCAGGCTCTCCCAGCAAGCAGGGCCGGCACCCGGCCTGCTCTAAATCACCCCTGCCACAGCCGGGACCACCACCCTCTGCCCTCGGCTCCTTGAAGGAGCCAGCGCTGGGGGCCCGAGTGCAAGGCTGACCCTCAGCCTGGTTTCTCACCTGTCGGTTAAACAGAGCCAGCTGCACCTGCCCTGCCGCCCCAGGGTGGGAGGGAAGTCAGTCGGGGGGCGCACAGGCCCCGCCCACCCCTCGCCCGGCCCCTCATCCCCACAGCACTCACCTGTGTGGCCCCGTTCCTTGCTGTAGCCGAAGCCCTGTAGGGAGCTCTGGGGCCTGGACTGGGAGCCCATGCCTGTGGGGAGGCCCACGTCAGCAGCGGCGGGGACCCCCACCCTCAGTCCCGGATACTCAGGGGAGGAGAGGCCGTGAGTCCCCGCAGAGTGGAACCTGGTGATGGGGCTGGACGTACTTGCATACCTGCTGGAGGCAGGGCCCTGGGTGGCTGGGAAGGAGGCAGAGGTGACAAGGCGTCCGAGAACAAGGCAGCCCCCAAGTCCTAGGCAGAGGCAGAGGACACTCAGCACAGCCACACGCCGCTGTCCTCCCGCCCACCCCTCTGCTCTGCACCCCTGTCCCCTTCTCCTCTGAGGGCCACACACAGGGGCTCTCGTCCCGCAGCAGGAGTGGAACCAGAGTCCCGGGTGGGAAAAGCAGGGAGAGACCTGGGTCCTGGGCTCACCTGGGCGGCTGCCCGCACCTTCTGGTACAAGCTGTTCCCGTGGAGAGGATCCGGGGGTCCTGTGAAAACTGCGGGACGGAGGCAGAGGGGAGCAGAGCTGAGCTGGGCTATGCCAACCACCCCGAGGGGCCCAGCCTCAAAGCCCACCCCCGACACAGGTGGTGAGCCTCGGCCCCGCCCAGCCCCCCAGGAAGCCCCTGCTCAGCATCCCCCCCGAGTCCCTGGGGGATAAAGCACAGATGCACCACCGTCCCCAGGCCTGAGGTGGCTATGCCCTCACAACCCCTCGGCTCCCCCGGCCCACACCCCCAGCGGCGAGGCTGCAATCCGACCTCCAGAACATCATGGGCTGCATCACTCCCTGACCCCACTGCCGCCCCCGCCTGAGCTCCTGCACCCGCGGCCTAACTGCCTCCCCTCAACCCCTTCTCCACCCAGAGGCAACCAGAGGGGGCTCTTGTCCGATTCAAAACACTTAGCGCTTCCAGGGGCTCAAAGATGATAAAACTCAAGTTCCTTACCACGTCTGAAAAGTCTCCTGCTCATAAAACTTCAGATGTGGTGAATCAAACGAGCTTAAATCTCATTAAGCCACTCGCGGGCTCTCCCTGCCGCAGGGCCCTTGCACTAGCTGGAGGACACCTTATGCCTGGCTCCACCTCATCCTTTCAGAGCTGAGAGGAAGAGCAGGGCCTCTCTGTTTCCTCTGTCCAAACACATCGCACTTTTCACCCATCTGGTGCTGTCTCCACCTTGGCAGGCCAGCCCCGGGGTGTGCAGACCACGGCCCTGCAACCAGGTAGGGCGGGCACCTCCCTGCTGCCGTGCCACAGCTCCCACCCTCCCTGTGGGGCCCAAGCCTCGAATTGCAGGGGACCCCCACCTGGCCCCCAAAGTAGGGCCGTCCTCTCTGTGTACCTTCCTGCTCCCAGCACCACCTCTTCTCACAGCCTATGCAGGCCTATCTGGGCACCCGTCCTCTGGGGGCAGTGCTCAGAGCTCAAGCGATTTTGGTGCCAACAGAAAACCACGGTCTGCTGTCCCCGTTCTGCTTCATCTGCCCTCTTTGGAGACCAGGATAGAGGTGACATCTGGCACCAGCCATGGTCACATGAGCTGCCCAGCGGGACAGGCCCATTCTGACCAGCTGGCTGGTGAGTATGAACCAGCCGTGCTGCTTCAGTGTACAAGCTCCGGGGAGCTAAGCCGTGACAAGTGCACCCCCAGCCCCCTGGATGCCTCTGGGCATCTGCTGAGTCATGGTCTGTGCCCGCTTCAAGGCCATTCCCTGTCTCCGAGGCGCTGGCATAGTGGCCCAGGGCCCACGGGCAGCCCAGCCCCACCCCAGCCTCAGTCCTGCCTGCAGTAAAGGGGGGACAGTGGATTTGGGGTGTGGGTGGGATAAGTCCCAGCACCTGGCGGGTGGGACTAACTCGCTAACTGCTGAGGGTCTCCTGCAAGCAAGCAGTGGCCGGGGGACTCAGTCCCCTCCGTGGCATTGCCCCTCAGGGACAGCTTGGCAGGGTGGGTTCTTGCCTGAACACCAAGGCCCTCCTGTTCAGTTTGCCCCACCCGAGGAGAAGATCTCAGGCCATGTCCCCACAAGTCCTTGTTAACAAGAGATGAGAGACGCACGGACACCTCCGGCCTGGGGGTGGGTGAGTGATGGGGCTCCACCCCAGACCCACCTGTCGCCTGGACCACGACAGGCCAGAGCCCCACCTCTCCTGCCGGCCTCACCAGTCCCGTCCTCCCACAGCCCTTCCAACAGCGGAAGGCTTACTAGGGCCCTGAGGAGCAGCCCTGGGGAGAAGAGAGAGCCCGTGGCAGGGATGGCAGTGCGGACGCTTGCCGAGCGCCCACCGTGTGCAGGGCACAAGGACAGGAAAGGTCCAGGCCGCAAGGGCCTGGCAGGGCTCACGGACAGACACCGGTCATTCTGTACAGTGCGGTGAACACAGGGGAGGAGCAGGGGGCTAAGCGCAGGGAGGGCTTGGAGGAGCCCCCAGCTGAGCTGGCCTGGCCCTTTGGGGAGGAGGGAAGGGTCCGGCACAGAGGAGCTGGCAGCAGAGGACAGGGTGGACGGAGCACAGGGTGGGAGCATGAGTAAGGGGTGGGGGAGCGGGGGCCCGGGTTATGGGATTTGGCCAAGACCTGCCCTGGCCACCCTCCTCCCTGCACCTCCACTGGGTTGTGCCAGTGCTGTACCTGCGGCTTCCTGGATGAAGGCGGGGTTGCGCTTAAGGATGAGCAGGAAGGACGAGGAGCCATGACCGCACAGGTGCAGCATGATCTTCAGTACCTGGGGGAGCAGGCACATGGGGCAGAGCTGGGCCCAAAGAATGGCACCCCTCCCGACACAGCCACCGCGCCCCCGGCTCACCCCTCCCCTCCAGCCTCACCACCGGGGGCAGGACTGGGCCCTAAACTAACCCCCAGGAAAGTCTGCGGAGCCGCTCACGGACTCACCTTGAGCTTCACGCGGCCAGAGCCGCTCTGCAGACGGCTCAGCAGGTACTCCAGGAGGCACTGGCTGCTGCCCAGGGACTCGTGGGTGATCTCTGGGAGGCGCTCGGTTAGGGAAGGGGCGAGCTGACCCTGGGCCGCACACGGCCGCTGGCCTGGGCGAGAAGCCAGGCCTTCCTGCCACACGCTCCTCAGCGTGTCCCCCCAGCAGGCGCCCACCCAGGCCCTGGTTTCAGGAGCATCAGGCTTCGAGGGTTTCCTGGGCCTCATATCATCAGTAGTGCGGCTTTCAGAGCCCGCTCACACCTGGCTACTATGGAAAAGGAGCCGTGGCCCGCTCAGGGTAGAAGCCCAGGAACCCTGCTCCAGGGCCCCCACATGTGTCCACAAGGAAGGATACTGGCGATCTCCTCAAACAGGTAGCCTGGACACGGGACGTCATCATCCGACGTTCCCTTCAGGAGAATCGGGAGCTGAAAGGGAGGGAGAGCCCTGCCCACAGTGAGTGGCCATGCACACAGGGGGCCCCCGGACACCAAAGGGGCCACCCATTCCTGAGATAGGCCACAGGAGCCCTCGTTCTCGGGGCACCGGTCTCCACACATCTCGTTGTTGGCATGCCACAGGGTGAGGGGACCCAGAGAGGGCAGTTATGGTCCTACTGGCCACAGGAAGCCTGCAGGAGCCTCCCTTGTGGAGGTCAGCATGAACGCCTGGGAAGAGGAAATGGGTGGTGGTCTCCATGGTGACGGGCCCTCTGGGTCAGGATTCGGCATGGCCCCCAGACCCCTATGCTTACAGCCGCACAACTTAAAACCACCTTTAGTTTACCTACTTACTGACTGGCAACAACAAAAAAAAAAGCCCTTGGGGTCAGCCCCCTTCCCACTTCCCACGCAGGGCACTGGGAAGATTACATTTTTCCGGAACACAAATCAGCAAAGTGACATAACCATTCAGCCTGACCGACCTACAGCTCCACTTCTATGAAAGGACTCCACGGAAACAACCCAAAGCAAGAACAACCAACTTAGTTGTGCGTCTCACGTTTACCTGTTGGCAGAAATTAAGAGCTGACTCAGCACAAAGACCTACAGCTTATAGGGATAAAACCCAGAAACACCCGTTCCACATCATTGAACATCTGGGGGGCACAAGCCTCAGTGTAGACAGACTTCACGTGCACTCCGGGAGGTGCTGGCCACAGATACGGTCTGCCTGAATGTCGCACGAGGCTGTGTGTGTACACAGTCTTTAGCTATTTGTCCACCAAGACCCAGAGGGGAGCTGGCAAGGTCTGCAGAACCGTAGAATGCTTGGCACATAGCGAAATCTCTGCTCAAAGAGAACTGACTGTGCTTCTGGCAGCACGAGGGTGAACCGGGAATCCCCCCACCCCCATCCCCACCGCCTGCCTGAGGAAGCTCGAGGTGCCAGGAGAATTTACTGGGTCATTTCAGAAACATTTTCTAAGAAGGACCTACAATTGTGAACACGGAACTCCTACAACTCGGGAGTATCTTTCTCAAGGACCTGAAGGCCACTCCTCTAAATGTAACCATCAGGAAGGACAGGGGCTGTCTCCCAGTCGCTACTGGACGATGGGATCCTAGCTTCTGTAACCACCAGCTATCAGCACAGCAGCCGGTATCCCGTGGACACTGCCCAACTGCCTATAATTTTTCACTTGAGCTCCACCCGTCCCTCCTTCTGTCCTGAAAACTCTCAGTCCTCTCTGCACAATTTGGAGTGGAGCTCAGGGCTTCCCCCACCGCCTGAGCCACTGAATAAACGGTTTTCCCCTGTTTCCCGGACCAGTGTCTGGTTGTGTTTATCTTAGACAGAATTTGGGGTCACTATGTTTCCTTTTCTGTAAGGTTATTGATACTTTAAGTTGGGTAAGAAAACAAAAACTGGGGTCCCACAGCTCTCTTCTCCAACTTGGATTTTGTTCAAGGGGGTCTCACTGTCCCCAGTGGACCTGACACACGGGTAGCCTGACCTGCCCCCTCGACGTACGTGCTGTGGGATCCCCCAGCTTTGGGAGGGGCCGAAGAGTAGGAGGGGAGAGGAGGAGGGGTCTGGGGTGTAGAAGGGGACGGAAGGGGGTGAAAAAGAGTAGAGAGAATAAGTGGGAGGGGCCGGGGGACGACGGAGGGGACGCCGAGCTCAGGAGCAGCCGGAGAGCCCGGCGCGGGGACGCCGCAAGGGTCGAGCGGAGCCAGGGAGGCGGCCGGTTCGGGCCGGGGGCGAGGCCAGGAGGCGGCGCGCGGCGGGGCCGGGGCCCCCCGCACTCACCCGGTGCAGGAAGCTCAGGCGGTCCCGCAGCGGCACCGTGGCCGCCATGGTGCCGGTCAGCTTCCGGCCCCGCCCAGCTCCCGCCAGGCCCGAGCCCCTTCCAATAACTGCGCGGGTCTGACCCCGCTGGCCAATCACTCGCGTGAGGCGGGCCCTGCGGCTGACTTCGGGAAACAATTTGCACATGAACCAATCCAAAGTCCAAGGACAAAGACAGACAAAACCGCGAGCCAATTGCAAGGCTCTGGAACACCAGGAGCGGTTCCGGAGGAGAGGCGGAGGCGAGGGCTGAAGCCTGGCCAATGACAAAGCGCAAGAAAGGTTGTGGGCGGAAGCTCCGACCTATTAAGCTGTTGGGTGCCGGAAGAGGCTGGACCTAAGATGGCGGCGCCCACGGGTGCCAGGAAGAGCTGCTCATGTCGGGGAACGGAGCGGTGTGGGGTCGCGTGCGAAGCCGCCTCCGCGCCTTCCCCGATCGCCTGGCGGCCTGTGGGGCCGAGGTGCGGAGTCGTCAGGCGGGGCAGGAAGGGCCGCGCGGGGCGGGGTGCGGGCTGGCGGGGTGGTGGTGACTGGGGAGCGGCGACGGGGTCTGCCCGGGTGACCGGCGGGCGTGGGGGCCGCCGCGACCCTCGCCCGTCCCCGTCCCGCCCCCAGGCCGCGGCCTACGGCAGGTGCGTGCAGGCGTCCACGGCCCCGGGCGGCCGCTTGAGGAAGGATCTGTGCGCGCAGGAGTTCGAGGCCTTACGGAGCTGCTTCGTTGCCGCGGTAGGTGGGCGCCGGCCCCGCCCGGGGAACGGACCCTGGGAGGCTGGCACCCACGTGCTTGCGCGGGCCCTCCGGCTTCCTTTCCTTCTGGGTGCGGTGCTGGGCGCCAGCAAGTGCTTCAGACGCGGCACACCCTCCATCAGCCGGCGCGACCCCCGCCGCCATGGAGCGCGCGTGCCAGTGTCCGTCAGGTTGGGGGAGCACCGCTCTCAACGTGTACCTGCCAGTGCCTTGTAACCCTTTGCGGGATTGTTGCTGGTGGGGGGTCCCGGCCCCTGCTGTCCTAGTTTCTCTGGTGTTTAGGACCCCACGTGTGTGCTGTGCGTGGGCAGTTGCAACCGGGCACCCCGACCCCCCCTTCCTTTCGACTACCCCATTTCACAGAGGGTGAAAGGAGAAAAAACGAGTGTATTTTAGGTTTGTTGTCATGACCAAGGTTACAGAGGCTGAGAAGTCCCCCACCCAGCCGCGCTGGTTGGTTCTCACTGGCGCAGAAGCGGGCTGTGGTGACAACAGTGTGTTCCTTGGCTCTGGACTCAGTTCTGCCTCTAACCCTTCTGTAACAGGTGGTTTCTGTTTCTGAGCTGTGGCGTTTTCTGATCCTCATCTGATCAAATGCTATGCCAGTGAAAATAGACACCGTGCACAAGTAAAGATTTATGGTGTTGTGTTGATGCGTTTATTATAAAGGATGGGGAGGAAGTAGGGTTGGAAGAGACCCACACTGACTGAGGGAGAGGAGCTCTCTGGGGAACCGAGATGGGAATTCCAGTCTCTCAAGAGGAGGGTGTGGAGACCGCCTGTAATGAGGCTTTAACACAGGGTTTTGAGCTGGTGTCATGGCCTTGGGTGCCCCTGGCCCAGTGGGTCTGGGGTGGGCCACGATGCCAGTGGTCAGCTCTGTTTGCCAGAACTGCTGATCTCGAGAACTGGACCCAAGAAGGGGCAGTTGGGTCAGCCTAGCAGAATTCAGGGAATCCAAGGCAGTTTCCTGATGTTCCAGGATGGTTGAGAATGCGTGGGCTATCCCTCATTTCCTGAAGGGCTCAGAGAACTCCTTGCACCTTCCTTGCCATCGTTGTGGCTGGGACGTGTGGCCTCAGTCCTTGTCACCAACCTCTGATCTGACATGTGCCCTTCACCCAAGCTGCGTGTGTCCCTTGGACTTGCTTCCTGCCTCTTGGCAGCTTCCCTGCTTTACCTAGAGTGTTCCCTCGGGGAGGGGACAAACCTTCATTCTGTGGTCACTGGTTGGAAGGATTCACACGTGAGATAAAGATCACACACTTCTGGCCACGCGAGGCTTTTCTCTACCGCCTATGGTTAGTCAGGAATCACCCATTACAGGTATCTGGTCATCTGTGATTCCTTACGCTCCTTTGCCTCTGTCACGTCATCCTGCCCCCGGGAGCATGTCGCTGCCTCTCGTGCCATTTTCCACTGAGGGTAACCTAACTGCAGGCCCTGGGCACTGGAAGCTCAGAACAGGGAACTTGGGGGTTTCTCACCTAAGAACACAAGCCGGTGAACGCATTTTTGCCCACTCTGCCTGGACCCTGAGACTCCACGGGGCTGAACGAGGAGGCAGAGGGCTCTGGGCACCACTTCCAGCTCCGTCCCTGGGAGCCCTGTCCCTGGGCAAGTGTTTCAGCATCTCTGACCTCAGAGTTTCCGCTACAGGGGGAAAACTAAACGTAACTCGTTGGTGCACAGTGCCTGGCACAGGTGGGCGTGGCTTTGAGGCCACAGAGCAGGTTGAGCTCTGTGGCCTGTGGAGGTGGGAGCAGAGACCCAGCCCCAGGGGCCCCCTGCTGCAATCCATGGCCAGGCTCTTTGTAAGCTATTTGCCAGAAGATGGCATGTGGTGTGGCAGTTTTCTTACTTTAGAGCCACGTCTAACTTGAAAACAACTCATTCAGACAAAGAACTTTCTCTTCCAGGCCAAGAAGACCCTGACAGGAAGCCATTAGGAAGGACTGCGAGCTCCACTCCACGTCCCCGGGTGTGTGGTACTGATGGCCCCGAGGGGCAACTGTCTAAAACCTCAAAAGCTCTTGAGGCTAAAAGGACCGGAAACACTTTAGGCGAGTGCGGGCAGAGGGGAATGGGTTTTCCAACTTTGCTCACTTAAGGATTCAGGGGAGAATAAGATGAAGTGAACTCACAATAAAGACCAGATCAGATGCTATAAGATCTATTTTGTCTGCAGGGTGAGCGTGCGGGCCATAGAACACCCTGCCTCTCGAGTCTCTCTCTTTTTTTTTTTTTTTTTTTGCGGTACGCTGGCCTCTCACTGCTATGGCCTCTCCCGTTGCGGAGCTCAGGCTCCGGACGCGCAGGCCCAGCGGCCATGGCTCACGGGCCCAGCCGCTCCGCGGCATACGGGATCCTCCCAGACTGGGGCACGAACCCGCGTCCCCTGCATCGGCAGGTGGACTCTCAACCACTGCACCACCAGGGAAGCCCGAGTCTCATTTTTTAAAGAATTCTCACCCAAGGCGTGTCGTCTGAGTCTAGCGAGGCCTCTAGAAGTAACTACCAATTTACAGCACGGACCAAAGAGAGAAGAGCGACACCACGAGGGAAAGGTAACCGCTGTAGGAATCTGATACTGATGGTTTTTTCAGACTTGGAGAGGAAAAAAGGCAGGGGTTGCTCTTCCAGACTAAGGCATGAGTCGAGGGAGGGTCCGGTTTAGGAACCCAGTAGTGAGACCCTCCCCGTGGGGTCTCCTACCCACCCTTCTGCAGCCTCTGGAGTCCAAGCCCAAGCCCATCCCTGCCAGGCTCCTGCTGGCTCTGGTTCCACCCGTCATCGTGAGATTAAGGTTAGGCCGCAGCAGCGCCCCTCCCAACATGCATATGCGCAGTCCAGGGAGACCTGACAGGACCCTGGTGCCATGGCCTGAAGATTCCAAGGTCCTGAGCACCGCCTGCTGGGCGCGTGGGGACTGTGCTCCCAGAGCCCCCTCCCCGGGGTGTGGAGGTCACACTGTCCTCTGGCTCCATCCAGGCCATGGCGTCCCAGAGCCTCGTGCCAGGGCACCCTCGCCCTGAGTCCTGGAGCTGTTTCCTCTTGTAAACGCTCCTCCAGAATCAGCCCGACTTTCCCCCAGGTGGTGAAACCCCTCATCTCTTGAGACATCATCCCAGTGAAATGCAGTTCCCAGGGCGGCCTCGGAGGGGAGCCACACGCCGTTCAAGGGCTTCAGGGCTGTTAGAAACTGTCCCGCTGGGCGGTCACATGTCACAGTCAACACTGGAATTCAGGACTAGACACCGATGACACGACCCCCATCCCTGCCAGGGGTGACGAACCCACAGATAGGCTGAAGGCTGTGGGGAGGAGTGGGCCTCCCCACTTTGGCGTCCACCCGGACCTAGCGTCTGCCCAGCACGTGCTTCCGGCCTGAGGATGGCCTTCTCTTCCTGATCCTTCGTGACCTTTGACAGCCTGCTGGCTAGGGCTTCCGGCATCTCTGCTGGGCACAGGTGCTCTGGCCCCTTCCAGAACTGTGCCGCCAAGTGCTCTCTCCTGCCATCCCTTCAGACTCCAGTTCTTGGAGGCACATGAAGCTGCCACCTCACGTCTCAAGCCTAGGGCTGCGGATGTGGTCCACTGACGGGGCCAGGCCGCTCACCACACACTGAAGTCACCTTGCAGGTCTCCCCGGCTTGCCTCCCCAAACTCACCCTGTCTTCAAGACTACTTATTGAAGGGAATTCAACCAAGTTGTGTCAGGATGCAGGAAAGATGGTCTCTGCTGCTTCTGCAGCTGCGTCACCATGAAGAAGTCACCCCATGCGGCTCTGTACTCTCCACCTGTCTTGACCTTAGACCGAGAGCTCAGCTGCACCAGTGGAGGCAGTATACAGCCTCGGCCTTGGCTTATTCCTACCCTGGTCTGGACTCAGTGGCCCTGCTCTCGAACAGGAGCATGGACAGGGTGCTGTCCCAGTCACCCAGGCCAGAATGGCCCCATGTCTGCCAAGTGTAGCTGCCAGCACAGAAGGTTGCCCACTGGTGGCCCAGTGTGCTGCTCTGGCTGGGACCCCTGGCCATACGTGCCAGCCATGGGACCCAGATGGAGGAGTGGTCTGTGGTCAGAAAGCAAAGCACTGTCCCGGGGCCCTTCCTAGCTCCCTGCATTACTGGTAATGGTGACCCCACCCAGAGGTCTGCCCAGATTCTGGGGAAGATTCGGGTTCCTTTCCCAAGGGGCTGCCAACTGGGGAGGGAAGTGGAGCTGAAAGCCAGGAGGAGAGAACAAGCGTTAACTGGGACAGAGGACCCCGAGTGTCAGGGTGTGTGGGGATGGCAGGCCGCAGCAAGAGGCCCTGCACTGCTGCTCTCACCCTAGGCTCGGGCCGCCCTGCTCTAAGAAAGTTATCTTGGCAGAAAGAGCAGGAGGGTGGTGTGACCTCCAGAGGACACGAACACTGGGTCAAGGTAAGACATTCAGGTAGAGAGAGCTGGAAACAAAGTCCCACTACAAGACCTTAAATGGAGTTCCAACCTGAGGGAAACTTCCACTGAGCACAGTTTGTTTGGAATTGCTTTTAGTTAAGAATGGAGGGTGGGAAGCACTGAGACCCGGCCCCCTTTCACAGAGCTTCCCTCTATGTGAGCAGTGCCCGGGGTTCATGGGGAATCAGCTTGGCCTCCAGAAGATTCCACTCCTTTTATTACTCATTTCTAGTCTTCAAGATGACACAGAAATTTCAGAAGGCGCAGGGGAAGAGTGTGACCTGAGGCCGAGGCTGGAGCTGCCACATGCCCTGGGCACCCCTGGCCAGTGGTCAGCAAGTGGCCCACTCATGGACCCCTCGGGGCAGGGTCTGGAGCTGCCCCTAGCCCCAGAGGGCAGCGAGGCACACACAGCACAAAGCAGGTGAAGGCCCCGGGCTTGCAGCGGGACGGCCTGGCATACTTGCCGGGTCACCTGCTGACCAGCCTCAGGGGTCGGGCGTGACCATCGGCCTTTCTGCCCCTTGAGAACAAAGTACAGCACAAAACCACAACCCTCTCAAACCACAGCCCTCTCAACAGATGAGCAGGTGCCAGAGGTGCAGACTCGGGAGAAGCTGTCCCGGAAGAAGTGAGAAGCAGCCTCTGCTGGCTGTGTACTCCCACCCCCGACACCTGCGGGTCTGGCACCCAGCTGAGGCTCCGAGCACGTGTCACTGTGGGGTTTGACGGTCATGGCTTATGTCTGTGGCACGGGGTCCTCTGGGTGATTCACCTCCACACCAACCGCACTAACCAGACGTCAGCGGTGTGTTTTACTTTTTAAATCTCACAACCACTCGACTGGGAGACCAGAGTATGCAGAGCAGAGCTCTAGGGCAGAAGCAGTTGGACTCACAGGCCTGCCCAGCCTCTGAGATTTGAAGCAGCATTTGCTGTGAAGAAGGGTGAAGGCAGAAGCATTTCCTTAGGTTTTGTATGGCACTCACAGAGAACATCAATAAAGTAAGTTCAGGGTAACAACAGCCGTGTGGCTGGTGGCCAGTCACGCTTCCTGGGGCTCAGCAAGCGGCTATTTCTTCTTGAGGCCACTTTTTCTCCCGGTGGCCTCAGGGAGCTGAGTCAGCGGGAAGTGTAAGAGGAGAGAGGGATGGCAAAGCTGGTTTGGAAGCAGGGTGCAGCTGGAGAGCTGTCACACTCCACCCTGGGCCTGACTTCCAGGACTTCGCGCCCACCGTGGTCCAGGTTCGCCGGCTGACAGGGAGCACTGTGGCCTTAACGGGGCTCAGGGCTCCTCCAGGGCCCCGAGCAGCTGTTTGATCTGTCGGCCTGGGACCACTCGCAGGGCGCCCCCCGCGGCCTGGTGCAGCTGGGTCTCCAGGGCGCTGCGGAGGTCACTGACCTGCACGGCAGGCAGGGGGTTGAAGCTGATGATGACCCTGTCCTTTGGGGCTGGCCCCGCCTCTGCACGAGGAGCCACGTCCCGCCGTCTCCTCCGAAGGTCAGAGCCGGCCTGGACTTTCAGGTCCCGGTTGGGTTTGGCATTGTCTGGCTTCTGATCCCCCAGCATGGCTGGTTTGGGCCCGAGCTCAGGGTCCAGCCTCTGCTCGGGCTCTTGGATGGCGGCGTCCTCCCTGGGAGCGGGCACGTGCTCCTTCCTCGCCTCCTCATGACCGCCCTGCTGCCCGCCCTGCCCTCTGGCAGAGACAGCCTGTTGTTCCGGCTGATGTAACACGGCTTGGGCCCGAGGGGCTGCTCCCCCCGACCTGCTGGACAGGCCTCCGGGTGCCCGGTCTTGGCTTGCTTGCTGGGACTTTACCTGAGGGCCCCCAGCTGCTGCCCCCGCCGCCAGCACATCTGCCTCCTGAGCGTCTGTGCCAGCGGCTGCCTCGTCCTTTCCAGACTTCTTCCTTTCGTGGGAGCCTCCACCAAAAACATTCCGACTCTGCCGGGCGACGCCTCCAGCGCCGTGCTGCTCGGGGCTCCCGGGTGCCCTGGCAGGGTCCAGCACAGGGACCCGCTCCTGCAGGCCAGCGTCCACGCCCTCGGGCACAGCGCCCCGCCGGCCTTCCCTCGGCTCAGCCTGGGCTGCCCGGGGCTGCAGGTCAGCGCCGCCAGGAGGCGCAGCTGGGGCTCTACCCAAGGCCCCCTCGGGCTTCTCCACAGAGTGTTGGCTGTGCCCCTGGGGAGGAGCGGGGGGACGCCCAGGAGCACCGAGCACAGCTCCCAAAGGCTGTGGTGGGGGACGCTCTGCCATCCCCACGGCGTGGGCCTCCTGCTCCTTACCTCTGGGCCCGGCCACCCCCAGCTCAGGCTGCACGTCCGCTGCAAATGAAGTCAGTCACCGGTTTAGCCACAGAAATGAACAGAAGCTACCAATGCAGGGACTAAAGAACCCAGCTTGCCAGCAATCAAGAAACACAAACCACAGCTTAAATTTGCCCAGCAGGACTCTAGGCATGGAGCCACAGACCCAACCGCGCAGGGACCCCCGGAGACTCTGGCGTTCGTGCACTAAGGGACAACCCCTCTTCCCCGAGCAGATGCAGCAACTGTCCCCTGCCCTGCAGGCCCGGCCCCTTCCCCCTGCCGCCTCCCCCGGACTTGCCGTCCTCGCCGTCCTGGCCGTCCTGCCTCTGCTGGTGGATCTCCTTATGCTGCTCTTCGATCACTGCAAGCAGCTTCTCCTGCTGGTCCAGGAGGCGCTTCTGCTGCACCTGCTGTTCCTTAATCACTTGCAACAGAACGGCATGGTCCAGCATCTCCGCCCGGCCAGCTTCTGGAGTTCGGAAAACACACGCAGTCAGAGCCTGAAGGCTGCAAAGGCGCTCTGCTGGGCAGAGGGTGACATGATGCATGCAGCAATGCCAAGGCGGCCTGTGGGCCCCTCCCCGGGACACCACCCCCGGGACACCATCCCCGGGCGTTCCTCTCCACCCGGCTGAGCTGGCGCCCAGGCCACCCTGGGGCACAGCCATCGCCTCTCTCCAGCGACCAGACACCCTTCCTACTGCTTCACTCCCACAGTGGCTCAGGGGTTATGAGAGCCAAGAGAGAGGTCACGCGCCATAACCACAATGATGGTGATCTGGGCTGGGTGACGTGAACTATGAACTACTCTAAGAAAGAACATCGGTGCTTTAAGAAAATTTCCTCCAAGGTGTGTATTTTAAAAACAAACAGAACCATCTTCCTCTTCAGCAGAGACAAGAGCTGGGACCTCAGTGAGATGGGGGCTGTGACAGTGCTCCCACCGGCCCCACCTCCCCCAGGAAGATGGCTGCAGCTGGCACGGGAGGAGCGCCAGGTGAGCTAGGGGCAGGCCGGCTGCAGCAGGTGTGTGTAGGAGGGCCCCCCACAGACTGTGGACCAAGAGGAGGCCCCAAGGCTGGACACCTTGGGTGCGGAGAGCTCCCACTGCACTACAAACACCTCAGCGCTGGGTCAGTTCTTTACAGCCAGCAATCTGGGTTTAAGTAACTTTTACAACACAGCTTCCCGTCTTTAGACAGGAAGCTTTGAAAGATGATGTAACTGTACAGGTTGTCAGATGTAGAAGCTCAAATCCAAAGAAAGAAGAACATTTTGTGAGTGGTGAGAGCTAACACCCAGCGAGGGCCCTGAGTGCCGGGCACACGCAGATGTGCTGACGTGTCCTCCCCAACGGCAATCTGTGACCCACCAGAATAGAGTGGGCTTGGCCTTCTGTCAGGGACTGCCATGGCTTCTCCCCTGCAGAGGCCGGTGCCAGGACGTACAGGCGGGCAGGCCCATGAAGAACATGCTGAGGCCGACCACAGGGAGGACAGGCCCCTCGGCCAGCCCAGGCGCTCCAGCCCCCTGCTCCCCACCAGGCACACATCCAGACACCCTAAGGTGACCAAGATGCCGGCCTGAGAAAGCCCACGTTCCGCAGATTGGCTCGTGGCTCCGCACACCCCCTTTAGACAAGGGATGTGCACAGTGCCATCCCACAGGGTTCTAGACCAGCTCCCTTGGCCATGGCCATGCTGTCACCCTGGGTGCCCGTGGCTCATGACCACCTAATGGTCCCACGTGCTGCCAATACCGCCTGCCCCCAGGGAGGGTTCCTGAGGAGCAGGCCCCCTGCCTCACTGGCTCCTCGGAGGACCAGCCCCGGACTGAGGCTGGAGGAGGGGGGAAGTGTGCCATGTCCAGCCAGAAGCAACATGGGACAGGCGTGAAGCAGAGTGGAGGTGACAAAGTGAGCTCCCAGCCAGAGCCCCACATGTGGCTCTGGGTTCCTGCCCGGCCCACCAGGACCACGGGGACCAGGCTCGTGGATGGGATGAGAGCTGCACGGATATTAACATACGTGCAGAGCACATTAATACCAGGCCATGCACACGGTGGAAGTGACACACAGGCCCCGCCCCGTCTCTGGGGGAGTCCAGGCGCTCACAGGCTGCACCTGGCTGTCCTACGGTGGCAGTGGAGCCCCAGCAGGGCTAAGAGGGACCAGGGTGTCTGTACAAGAAGGGAGTGGGCTGGGGCATCGGGGGGACCCCACCTGAGGGGCTGTGGCTGAGCCGGGGTGGGGGGCAGACCGTGTGTGGCTCCCGGTCTCTGCCCCATGCGCCCCATGCGAGGCGCTACTGGATGCGGGGCCCACACCATCTGCTCTCGCGTCTTTAAACCCCCCACAGACGCATTCACTGTGATGCTCCTCCCGACTCCTACCTGCCACCATCTTTCTGATTTCAGCTGTGCGTGTCCCATTGAGAGGCGTTTGGAGAAAGGCAGAATAGGAAACCATGAAAGTTCTTTTCAGAAAAGAAAAAGCCAAAGAATCAAACAGGCTTACATAACAGATTATAAGGACCGGGACCAGTAAACAGACTGAAACCAAGTAACATGCGGAATTCCCACGGCTCCCGAGCTGCAGGAAACCCCAGGACCCTTGGCTCTGCCTTCCTAGCCTTGGTGTGCAGAGGCTCGGCTGGCATCCCTGCGCAGTATTCTGGGCCAGCTATCCCGAGGCTGCAGGATCAGCTGGGAAGCAGCTCATGGGGCAGCAAGGCACGAGCATCCCATGAACCCACCCAAGTCTGCTGTACCGCCATCCCCACGCACAGATCAAGACTCCCAGAGCACAGAATGAAACACCCAGGGGCCGTTCTGTGGACACTGCTACAAAATATGGTGACACCGCAGCGACTCAGATTGGGCGGGGACCAAAGAAACCAGGATGGGTGATCATTCGCTGGGACGGCCGCCACCACCTCTAGCGCAGGGGCAGTGCCCAACCAGGTGGGCCCACGAGGAGGGTAGTCAAAAGCCAAGAGCTGGGAGCACCCCAAAATGGGCATGAAGGTATGGAGGAGGATGCAGAGCAAGTTTTGTTCACTGGAGAGAAAAGACGAGCTTTTGCTTTGGGACAGGTGCTGGGTCTTCACTGCAGGTGGACACAAATGTCCCCCCTCCCCCACCCCTGCCCCAGCTAAGACGAAGGGGTGGGAGCCGCTGCCACGGGTTGGGGGGAGAGCTAAGACAGCAGTGAGTCACCAGCCCTCCCACCCTCACTAATGCCCCCACACTGGGCCGACTTGTTGGAAATATTAACATATCTATTTTGAAATGAGATCCAAATGGTAACAGAAAGTCACGTGACAGTGAAAGGTTATTTTAAAAAGGGAGAGAAAAGGAGGTAGAAAACGTTCCTAGGAAGGTGAAAAAGGAGCAGAAAAGGTTGTTAGTGGGCACGGGAGCTATTTAAGATCTTTCCTCAGCAGGAAACTGGCAAGTGTAGAGGCTGAGGCCCTGGAAAGGCCCCCAAGACAACGGGCACCTGTGGCTCCTTCCCTACATCACTCCGCTTCTGGAAGGAAGGGGCAGGCGTCTCCAGGCCCCCAGAGGATGCAGAGAGAAAGTGAAGGCCTTACCCTCCAGCTTGCTGCCCGCGTGGTCCCCGGCGTGGTCCCCGCCCTGTCCCTCCAAGGTCCTCTGCTCTCGAGGCTCTGCCTGCAGCACTGCCCCTGGGCCTGGCTTCTCCTCCGGGAGGGGAGCCTTCCCACCTGCACACACGGCAAAAACTCAGGAGGCTGGCAGGAGACTCAGAAGAACGTAGAGAAGGGACAAGAGAAGGAGGCAGAGGTTTCCTAAAATCACCCTCCACGTCGCCCCTCCCTCCCCTGTGGCAGTGTATACTCAACCCGATGAGTACCAGGGAGGTAATAAAAGATATATAACATGTCACAGGCTGGCGGCAGGGAGCCAGTGTTAACTACCTTCGCCAATTAACACGCAGGGACCGTCCTCAGCAGCTCTGAGACGGCACTTAACCATGCACCACCCACCCGGTCAGGCGTGCGCCGCACCCCCGTGTGTGTGCCCAGGCACCCCGTGTGTCCCCAGACACACAGGACTGGCTCAGCACCTGACGTTTACGGGTCTGGCAAACAAGCGTGTGACAGATTGATCAGGAGAGCTGCCAAGCCCCCGACAGCTGCAGAAGGGCTGCTGCACGCACGTGCCAATCTTGCGAGAAAAGACAGGCAGTAGGACAGAAGTGAGGACGGTCAGCTTCTGCCCCCTCCGCAGCCTCTCCCAGGCCCCACATGGAAGGAGCCCACACCCACCGTGCTCGTTCTTCTCCACCAGCTTGCCCATGGCCCCCACGGCATGGCCGGGCAGCAGGGCACCGTCTGCTATGGCCCCTGCACCTGCCACCAGGACGTCCTGCCCCTCAGGGAGCACTGCCTGGGGCCCTGGATGCGCACCCCTGTCGACCAGCCCCAGGTCCTCCTTCAGGGGCTCAACGGCTGGCTGACCATTTTCTTCTGGAACCTTCTGGGGATCTTTAGGAAGACCACCCGCTGCCTCCAAAGCCTGGTCCTGTCTGGGTCTCTCTCGTTCTGAATCCAGCAGTGGTAGCACCATCTGACCCTTGCCCCCCAGGGCCCTTTCATCCACACGTTTGGACGGATGCTCCTTCTCCAGTCCTTCTGGGTCTTGACCTTCGTCCACCACCACCTTGTCGTGAGGGACTGGGGGTTCATGGCGGTGGGCCTCGCCCAGAGGTACCGCAACTCCTGGAAGGAGACGGCCGAGGTGGGGGAGTGGGTGGGGGTGGGGTGGGTGGGGTGGCCTGGCCTTCCCTCCCAGGGTGGCCTTCCCTCTCCAGGCCTGTGAACTGAGTTCGTTCCCGACCAACCACGTGGCTGATGTCCAGCTGAGGTCCCTCCCCCGTGGACACCACCCCCCAACCCCCGCCCGGGCCGTCACAGCACCTTGACCAGGGCGATCCAGCTGTGCCTCCTCCTGCTTCTCCTTGGCGTCTTCCCTTGGGGGCACATTCACAGGGCCCTTAATCTGGGCCTGCTCCATCTCATCTTTCTCATTTGGTAGCTTCGGCTTATCTCGGCTGTCCTCGGCCACGTCCACAATTGGATTCTGGCCTGTAAGCACGGCACAGATAATTGAGCGGTGTTTCCACATGGCCACACCGCCAATCAGCACGGCAACTGGGCAGTTTTCCCTGGATTGTAATCACATTTCCCAGTCGAATGGCAGAGCCTAAGCAATTATATTATTTCCTGTTCAATCATTAGCAGCTAAGTAGTATAGAAACCTGTCATTTTTCATGTGTGTTCGTAACAAAAATACGTCAAAATACAATTTACACCTAACTGGGTGCAGAAGAGCGACATCCTGCATAAGCCTGGCCATCACCACCAGGTGGCAGCACGAACCCACCGTTTGAGGCCTGGGGACAGCCATCCTGCCCAAGCGCAACCAACCCCTTGCTGTAGGCCAAGGGGGGAGGGGAGGACGAGGGATGCTTAAGGAAAATGCCTGAGGGAGGTTGATTTGCAATTCTGTCAACTTGTTGCTGCAGAAGTGAAAATTCCTATCAAAAGGAAGGTGAGAAAGAGGTGTAGCCCACAAAGCTGGACCCTCTTGCCTCCCACACATGCCTGCATCCCACAAGCCATCTCATCCTCCAGCAGGTCCAACAGCTCACCTGCACAGTCACCGCGGGTCCTCGGGGAGAGGTGCACGAGGATGGCCCGCCGAACTGGGCCAAAATGGAGCCTATTAGGAAACTCTCTCCATTAACAAAACCACTTTCTACCTGTTAGGCAAACGTGGCAGAAACTAAAAAACTATCTGGGGAAAAAACACGTGTAAAAAGAATCGTTTCGGGGCTTCCCTGGTGGCGCAGTGGTTAAGAATCCACCTGCCAATGCAGGGGACACGGGTTTGAGCCCTGGTCCGGGAAGATCCCACATGCCGCGAAGCAACTAAGTTCGTGCACCACAACTACTGAGCCTGCGCTCTACAGCCCGCGAGCCACAATTACTGAAGCCTGTGCACCTAGAACCTGTGCTCCGCAACGAGAAGCCACTGTAATGAGAAGCCCACGCACCGCAACAAAGTGGTCCCCGCTCATGGCAGCTAAAGAAAGCCCACACACAGCAACGAAGACCCAACGCAGCCAAAAATAAAAATAAATAAATAAATAAATAAGAATCATTTCATCCCAGAGGCCTAAAGCAACTGGTTTCCCCCTTCAGGGCACAAGCTGCCTGCAAAAGGGGAGGCGGAATCCCGAAAGGGCCTCTGGGGGGATTCACAACAGTCCTGTTCAGGTGGGCCTGCTCCCTCCCCCAAAGGAGGAGAAGGGACCAGGCTGACCTGCCATGCTGGCCGGGGGCACCTTCAGCAGCTGAGGTTTAGTGTCCAAACTGTAGGGGGGATCGTGCTGGGCAGGAGCCAGACTCGGGACTCCACAGTTCCATCAAGCAGCTGATTCTCATAAGCATGTGGCTCTTCGCCACACCACAGTTAACACCCCCATCCCCAGCCCGCAGAGAGCCCTGTGCTCAAAATCAAGAGGTGTCTATCCAGCGGATCACAAAGTGAAGAAAGGGGGCCGGGAAGGGAAGGAAGAACACAACAAAACAGAAAACCACTCCATTACGTCATAAGAACAAGTCATGTTCTCAGCAGGGAACAAAACCCGTTGGTCGTCAGGCAAAGGAACGACCTGGAGACTCAGGTGTGCAAGGGGCACAGAGTGCACAGCGCAGCCACCCCGCCTGCAGCGGCCGGGCCTCCGACACTTCACAGCTGTCCTTGGCAATGGACATAGCGCTTCCTAAAAGGAACGGAGCTCCTCATGAGGACAGTTTGCCAGCAATGCCTCTGGGCCACAGTAAAACTAACACAGAACTTCCTAATTAGTAACTGAAAACCAGCCCACACTCCGTCTGCCCTGCAGCTAGGCTCTGGAATGAGGCGCCCGCGGTGGCACAGACAGGAAATCGCCCGTGCGGTCATCGGTCATCACCCCAGGGAAGGACGAAGGCTGCCAGGCCAACCCTGGACCGTTTCTCCTCCTGGAGGCGGCAGTGGGTCAGCAGGGGGTGGCCAGCAGAGGGCGCCTCGGCCTGGAAGGGCCTCCTCTCATTCTCAAGGTCATGGCCTCCGCTCCCCAAAGTGGAAACCACACAGACATACGCCATGCCTGCCTCATTCTGCCAGGCGGTAGAGTATCCCGACATGCACGGCCTCATCCCACACTCAGACCCTCCTGATGGTGCTTCTGGCCAGGAGCTCCCAAGACACACAGGCCGATGGACGGTCACCCATCAGACTCTCCTTCCCATGTCCAGTGCAGGCGCCAGGTGGTTCTGTAACTGGCTTAGGGAGACAGGGGACCAAAGGCCATAGACACCTGCAGTTCTAAAATCTGGGTATGTGTGTCAGGTTGCAGGTGCGACGTCCTGAGTAGGCCTGTCCACGGCAACGAGAATCTGCCTTCAAGGCTGGTTCCACCTTGGAAGACAGGGTCTGGGCTGGGGGCTCCTCTTTGTCGACTCTCCCCTGCAGGACCCCATTCTGAGTCCAGGGGCGTCTCTTTCTGTATCTTGTGATCAGTAAAGATGGAAGCAGTCCTCTCTGACTGCCAAGCACAAAAATGAAGTGACTTTCAAAATCACACCTGAGTCCCATAGATGGAGTCCCTGTTGACTGGAGGGGAACCCCAAGTTCAGGAGACACACGGGACCCCAGGGCCATGCGGAGAGCAGGAGCAGCCACCAACGCTCCTTTAAAAGGCCAGACGCTGCGCCTGAGTAACTTTCCTGACAGCCTTCGAAGTGCCCGCCTCGCTGCTGCCCTGAGAAGGTTTTACTTGTTACCCCCAACTCTTCTCGGCAGGCAGCAAGAGAAACGCTGACTATGACACCCTTTTGAATGTGCAGGAATCCCAATGGGCCCCTGACCCAAAGTCCTAGCCGGGTGGCCCGGTGGCCCCATCTGGCTCACCGTCACAGCTCTCCTGCAGACAGGCACGTCTGCCCGCGGGCAGCAGGTGGAAGGGGCATGGGCCGGTCACTCGGGGCTGGACATGGGAGGCAGCACCCCTCCCGCCCCCAGGAGTCCTTCTGGGTTCAGCCGCGGCTGGCGTGGTTATCTTAGCACCGGTGAAATAAGCTCACAGCCTTGTCCTGACAAACGGGCAGAAAAACTGAAATCACTCGGCAGAGCGGTGTTAATAGCCCCTTCTCTGCAGGGCACAGGGAGAGCTGTGGGGGACCAAGGAGAGAAGGCAGGCGTGGAGCCGGGCCTCCCCGTGGGCATGCCGGCATCTGTCACAGGAGTTTGGACGCTTTCCTGTCTGCGTGCACCGGCAGCTGGCGCAGCAGCACAAGGGACGCATCCTCGGAAGAACAATTAGGTAGGAGCTTGTGGGGGGCAAGCTCCCGCTCAGGTCACCTGTGTCCCCACACAAACGGATTGCTGCCTACAGGCCCCGTCCTGGCCCTTCCTCTTCTTCCCCATCCAGCAGAAGCCGGGCCGTGTCCCTGATGGGGAAAGGGATGAGTTGTGTAATGGGTGTGGCCAAGGCGGCCCCCAAACACCAAGAGAAGCTGCAGGCTGGGCGGGAGAGGAAGAAAGGGGACAAGGCCACATTCAAAGGAGGAGCTGAGAGTATCACCAACTCTGAACCCACCCGCCAGAGCCTTGAGCAGGCCATGAGCCTCAGGTGAGCAGCCTCGTAGCCTTTCCTAAAGGGCTCGGCCACCTCTTCTGTCCACACCAGGTGCGTCCTGGGCTCTGCACTTGCTAAGAGTGACAGGCTGGGGGTGGCCAGTCCCGCATGTCCCCAGGAGAGCAGGATTCCCCCAGTCCTAAGGCCAGCTCGGGCTCTAAGGAAAGTTCATACCATTTTGGCCTCTTCGACATCTAAGAGGCCAGTAAACCCACCTCACACGCTGATGGGCAGACGTCTGCAGGGCACGTGGCCAAGGCCCCACGGGCCCAGCTCTGCTTCAACGAGGCAACCCATCAATGACGGGGAGGCCGGGGGCAAGAAACACGGAGACTGAGTTAAACAAACGGCATGTGGTTCCAAGAGAGGCCATGTGTTTGTTACAGACTCGTGGAAGAAATGGAAACCAGATGTGGCCGCGGCAGCTCCAGGTGAGCCGGGGGCCTGCCTCCACGACAGGATGCAGCTGCTCGTGCAGGCCGTGGGCTGGAGGCTGCACAGCGCCGTGGGGACAGGTAGCCCAGTGCCGACTATGTCAACTGATGCCGAGAAGCCCTACTGGGCGGGCCCACAGCCAGCTGAGATGCGAAACTGGTGTCCGAGTCTAGTTCTGCTGGAGGTGCCCTTAAAGCACACAGGGCCAGGACACCCGAGAGTGAGGGACCCAGTGGGGCTGTCAACAGGGGTGGAGGAGCAACACCTATCTCCCTCTTCAGGGAGGCTTTTTTCCCAGCCAAAGTACTGAATCCATGCAACTTGCTGTGGGATGCCCAGGCAGCTTATTATTTTAATTTTTATAAATTTATTTATTTTATTTATTTATTTTTGGCGGAATTGGGTCTTCGTTGCTGCATGTGGGCTTTCTCTAGTTGTGGCAAGCAGGGGCTACTCTTTGCTGCGGTGCGCGGGCTTCTCATTGGGGTGGCTTCTCTTGTTCTGAAGCACAGGCTCTAGAGCGCAGGCTCAGTAGTTGTGGCACACGGGCTTAGTTGCTCCGCAGCATGTGGGATCTTCCCGGATCAGGGCGCAAGCTCGTGTCCCCTGCATTGGCAGGCGGATTCTTAACCACTGTGCCACCAGGGAAGCCCTCTTCTTTATTTTTGAATATTTATTTATTTATTTGGCTGCGCCAGGTCTTAGTTGTGGCATGCGGGATCTTTGTTGCCGCATGCGGGATCTTCGTTGCGGCATGAGGGATCTTTTAGTTGTGGCATGTGGGATCTTTAGTTGTGGCATGTAGGGTCTTTTAGTTGCAGCATGCGGGATCTAGTTCCCTGACCAGGGATCGAACCTGGGTCCCCTGCATTGGGAGCGAGGAGTCTTAACCACTGGACCACCAGGCAAGTCCCCCAGGCAGCTTCTGACCACTCTGATTAACTTCTCTGCTGAGCCCCGCTATTCCCAGGGGTCCTCTCTGCAGGGGACCCCCAAAGGGAGAGTCTTCTAGCCGGCTCTCGCCATCCCAGGAAGGCAGAGGAGAGCATGCCCAGCTACTCTGGGCTCAGAGCTCCCCCAAAAGAGCCCCAGGATAGACTGTTCTGCAGGAAGTTGGTGTGGGGTGCTGGCACTGCAGGGCCTTTCTGAGCACAGGGAGGTAAGGCTGGAACAGAGACAGCAACACATCCAAGAGCCCCATACCTCCAACTGCGGGTAGCCCAGCCCTGCAAGCACCCAGCACGCTTGCCTCCCTGGACAGCCCTTGGGACCTTTCCTTTTGTCAATCACAGTAGCTGAGGAGACCAGGGCTCCTCTGGGCTTCTTAGCCATCACCACTCAAAGGGACCTGGAATCCACCAGCAACCAGCACTGCTCCCCCAGAGGGGAATGCCAGGCAGGCAGCCTGGGGAATCTCAATCCAAGCCAGGGGTTTCTTTGCAGGGAAGGTAAGCAGACACGCACACACCATTAGTATGAATACACAAAACCCAGCCCTTGTCAGGGCAGAAGCCCCTGGAATGAACGTCATCATAGACAGCACCACCGACCAGTACCCGAACCTGATGCCGCTCGGAGCTCCTAGAAGGCGAGAGGCCAGATGGAGGGAGCCCTCCCCGCACCCCTCCCATCTAAGGCCTGGGAAGGCCACAGGCTCCAAGACACCTCTTCTCTCCCAATCCCCCCAGACGCAACGGAGCTCCTGCTGTACCCCAGAAAGCCGCACTTAGAAACCACCCTGCACCCCATGGGCCCTGCCACATATGGGCGATGGGGCCACTGCACTGGGGGGCCTTCCAAGGCAGGCCTGCAGCTCATGAGGGAGTGTGGCTCATCCCTCTATCAACGGGCAGGTCAACAAGTAATACATAAAGTGAAACACGAAACAAAGCTGAGGGGCATAACTGACTTTGTCCAGGAAAACCTAGCTTAAAATTTACACCCTCAAAACAAAACAGGCAAACGTGAACGACACCCCCAAGTTTACTCACCTGTTAGCGCTCTGAACGGGGTGCTCAGATCTTGGCCCGGCTGCCTGCCATCTGTCTGTCCCCTGCACGCAGGTGGCCGCACCCGCCAGCCCCCTGGAGGCCCCCCACCCCCTCCATCACCCAAACAGGATGGAGGCAACTGGGCAGGTGAGACAGCCTGGGAAGTGCCACCTGGGTCCCCGTGACCCCAAGATGACGCTGCTGGGGTGTCCCCAAGAAGGCTGCAGGCTTGTGTGCATACCTGAGAGCCGCGTACCTGGGAGCCGCGTACCTGGGAGCTGGGCTGCCTCTGCCTTCATCGCGCCCTCAGCCTCTCCAAGTCTGCTGCCTGGGGCTTCCTTTGCCAAGTCCACAGGGGCCTCCTGGCTCACGGACAGGGTGGTGTGTGTGCTGACCACCAGGATGCCCAGGCCGACCCAGAGCACCACCTGGACAAGACAAAGACCCCAAGAACTAAAGGGGTCATGCAGTCCCTATGCCCCTGCCCTTCTTGGGGGGTGGGGCACAGCCCACAGAGGCCCCAACCACACTGACCACTAGATGATGGTCACTAACTGATCAGCGTGACTGAATCATGGGCCACATCTGCAGGAGCCACACTGGTGATGGGGCCAGTGGGGTGGCAGGGGTGCCGTGAGGGAGCCTGAAGACAGCAGGGGCAGCAAGTATGACATGGAGGGGCCTGCTGGCTGGAGAGACCCAAGCCCACCGGCCAGGCACCCTGGAGAACCCAGCAGCCACGCCTCCCCATGCCTAATGCTGCAGAGATTGGGTCCCTTGATGGTTCTGGCCAGGAGAGCAAGAATCTTGGGGCATCTGCCTAACCTGAAGGGGGCCCTTGCTTATCCCACCCCCTCACCCAGTAGAGGGCCCAGACCACTGGGTGCCCGGCTACAAATGACCTATCCCCAACATCACCCAGCAAGCCAGACACACCTGCAGCTGCAGGGCACAGCCGGGGAGACGGCTGGGAAGGAGGTGGCTCCTCGCCCCCTCTGGCCGTCGGTGCCCATCGGTGCTGCCCAGCGAGCCGAGCTGAAGGCACTACTGCTCGCCGAGGGGCCTCATCCCCACCCGGTCCCTCCTGTTGTGGCCCCCAGGCTGATCATAAGTGCTGCCCTCGGTGACTCAGTACACGAACCCCACGTTGTGTAACTCTGTCTCCCCTGCAGCTCCTGTACACGTTGGGCCGACACTCTCCATGTTACTTCTGCTGCCACAGCAGTGGACACTGCTTGTTCTGCCCTTCCCAGCCAGGCCCAGCCCATGCAGCTCTGCCCAAGGAGCTGTAACTCCTGGTGCCGCAGAGAGGACCACAAGGCGGCCTGCCTGAAGAGCCAGGGGGCCCCACCACCCACCTCCACGTGCTCTCAGAGTCAGAACTCAAACCTTTTCCGAAAGGCACATTGACTCTTTGAAATATATCTGTTCAAAAGAACCGCTGAGACTTTCCCAGGCCCAACACAATTAGAGAAGAAAGATTTTGTGCAGGAAGAAAGGACCTGTGCTCCTGAAGGTGGGTCCAGCAAATGAGGAGAACCTTGGGGAGAAAGTCTGTTTCAACCGCTGCCACTCTGAAAACACTGAGCTGGTTCAGGGCTCATGGAAGCAAAATGCTGGCCGTGCTCCGGGATCAGCCATGGTTCAGGGAGGCCTGGTCAGTACCATGGACTTGAGAGGCCCCTCCGGCACTGACCACCAGCCGGCCTTAGTCAGGTGCACATGGGGACATTGTTGGATTTGAGCCCCTGGGGTCTGAGCAGCATCAGAAGACTGTACGCAGCTTGGGGTCAAGAGCTCCTGACTCTCGCCCCCCACCCCAAGTTATTTTCTCAAAAATGTGTGGATTCCCAGCTTCAGCTGTGTGCTCAAAGAGTAGCATGTTATACCCACTTGCCATGAAGGGAAGATTCAAAGAGCAATGGTATCCAGAGGCGACCAAAGTAGTTTTAAAAAATTTAAAAGAAACTTTAAATCCCTTGCATCTCGCATTTCTCCAGAGAAACAACAAAAAGAACTTCACGTCCCGACTTGGACCCCGTAGCACTGACAGGATGAGGACAAGACCGAGTGAGAGTCCTGAAATACTCAAACGGCCAAAGTGGTTCTGCCTGCGTGGCCGGCCAGAGGGGGGGATGACAGCTCCAGAAGGGCCCCCAGGACAGTGCCAGGTGGGGATCCCAATGAGTCTGGGCTTCACCAGCAGAACCCCATTCCCCTCCAGGCCCTGATCTGGACAGCCCCTAAAATGGTTTTGACACAGAGATGAAGACATCTGCTTGGTTGTTTTTTGTTGGGTTTTTTTACGGGGACATCACTGAACATTCCACGGGAGACGGACAAGCCAAAGGCAACATTTCATCCCTGGCTTTGAATGATTTATTTCAACCCTTGGCTTTCTGGCCTTAAAGAAACAAATTGCGCACAAAATAAAAAACGTTAACTCCATCAATGCTGGGAGACAGCAAGCTTCCCAAAAAAAGACCAAGAAAGCATCAACTTAAATTCAATTTACGAAGAAGAGCCTGCACAGAGCCAGGAAGCTCCGCCTGGCGTCACACACACACCTGCCACTGCCCCCGGCCCAGACATCCCACGAGCCCACTAGCCAAGTGTGTTCCCTGGCTCCACCCTGTCCAAGAAGATACCCCACCCACGCTCCCCCCCCCGGCGGCAGTCTCCCCCCCCCCCCTTCGCCGAGACCCCCCCTCGTCCCCTGACACACCTGGCTCTCAAGCTGCCCTGGGCTTTGCGGGGTACTTGCCAGCTGACCACTGTCTGAGCATGAGCAGCCTGCTGGCCCTGCCAGAGCCTTTGTAACTGGTCACAGTCCCAGCTCTCCACTCTCACCCTTTGCTTTGAAGAAATGCCACAGGTCCGCAGAAACCTCCAGGCAGGGAAGCCAAAGCCACCCCAGCTTGAGGGGAGCAGAGGATTAATGGCAGGCTGGCGTCAGTGAGGACGTGGGAGGGCCATGCCTCACACCAAGGGAATCTAGGTCCACGGGTGATGCTGATGCAGTGACCAGATCACAGTCTGCAAGCAGGCATGTGTGGGGAGGCAAGAGTCAGCCAGAGCCACGGTGGGCACAAGGCCCCCAGGGCAGTGTCAGGAGCTCCAGGTGGGCCAGACTTTGGAAAGGGCACAGGTGTTGGCCAACTCCCTGGGGCAGCCATGACAAGTATGCACTGACCACAGACCCCCACCACTACCCCACCAAAGGCCTGAGGCGTCCATGAGGCCCCAGGGTCACAAGAGGCCAGAGCTCCCAGGTTGCCGCTCTGCCATGAAGTTTGGGAGGCTGATGCCGCACATGTGTGAACAGGGACAGTCATCAGTTCCCCCAAAGTCCTGATAAGGAAGAGATGCTGCTCCCAGAAGAAGGGGCCACAGCTGAGGTCTGTACCGCACCAGCCAGCAGTGATGGAATGATGGGGAACACGGGGGAGCCAGCTGGGGTACAGGGCTGTCATGGCCTCAAGACGGGGACAGGAGGGCACCTGTGCCTGCAGAACCCGTCTTCCAGGTACAACTTCCTGCAAATCCAGAGCTGCTTTGAAACGGGACAAGGTTGGTGAGCGAGCCGGGTGCACCAGACGTCTGATCACGCAGCCCTGACTTCTGTTCTTCTTAACCAGTTGCAGAGCCGCCAGGAGAAACACAAACACATCCTGACGTCTCAGCCCAGGTACATACGGCAAAACCAGGGGCTTGGCCTGGGGACCATGTGCGATGCGACACCCCAAGGCTCCCAATCTGCTGGGGTCCCCGACTCAGAACCAGAGACAAGCCCTGGCTGGGAAGAAGGTGTCCCCTTTCACTGCTCACATATGAGACTGAAGATGTACACGTTCAAACGAAACCACCTCGAGGCAGGGGCTCCGGAGCCTGCCCCGTGCACCCCAATTTGGGTCTTCAGGGCAGTGTGATCAGGGCATGGCAGGCGTCCTAGCCCAGAGGCCAGGGCGTCACAGCCTGGGTGGGGTCCAACAGGTCCTGGTGCGCGTTTGTGTCCCTGTCTCAGGAGCACAGCGGCGCCTTCTGGCCCTCCCTGCGGATGCTCCCCAGTGCTCCACACAAGGACAGCTATGGAGGCTGGTGCCGCTCTGGCTCAGGGCTCCACTGCCTCTCGTGAGTCCCAGGTGGCCCTGCTACCCCTGCCGGCTCCCGGCCGCAGCATCAACTCCGGACGGTGAAACCCACCCCTTCCGCCTCAGCCCCACTGGAGAGACCCTCTGAGTTCTCGAATTTTCAAGATAAAGGATGAACTAGTGATGACAGATAAGGTTCTTTTCGATTTGCTAGGGGCCAACTGTGTTTTCGCGGTCCCTGCTTATTCTTCTGAGGACGTTTCTCAGAATACTCTTTTATGCTTTTCTCCGGCACAGCTATGATGGGCCCATCACCCGTGCCCCCTACCTTCCCTGGCTCTTCCCAAGGTCCGGGGCCAGTAACAAGCACCTCTGTGCCAGCAGCGCTCAGGCATCTGGGGCAAGTAGACTCGGGCTAACGCCAGGTCTGTGCCATCCTAGGGAGCAGCAGCCGGGGCTCCCAGGACAGGAGGGACACACTCCAAGCGGGTACCCTCCGGGCCCTAGGTCTGCACACCAGACTCCAGCCACATTTCTTTTTTTTTTTTTGCGGTACGCGGGCCTCTCACTATTGTGGCCTCTCCCGTTGCGGAGCACAGGCTCCGGACGCGCAGGCTCAGCGGCCATGGCTCACAGGCCCAGCTGCTCGGCGGCATGTGGGATCCTCCCGGACCGGGGCATGAACCCGTATCCCCTGCATCGGCAGGCGGTCTCTCAACCAGCCACATTTCTGAGCATGCCCCTTGCAAGGTTCATTTTCCTCAAAACATGAAAACTCCGTGGGAAATAAAACAGCAGGGCATATAAACGGTATGCCACAGTCAGATGGTCGATTCTACGACTGATCTGCGATGTACCTCACCAAGACACTAAGTCCAAAGGGGAAACTTTCCATCTTCTGTGCACGTAGTCCGAAAGTAGTTAATATAATTTAATATGCTTTCCAGTTTTAAAAATCCATAGTAACACAGGCACAGATAGACGTCTCTTTAACGCGATTCTGCATGTGTTCACGTCTACAGACACGTGGGGGCGTTTGAATGCGCATGTTCATTTCTGTACATGAAGCCAAAACCAGCATTACGCTCGACAATTCAACACTGGAAGCTGTCCCAGCTGAGTTGGGAAGACGACTAGCTGCCCCCCCCCGCGCCCCCGCCAGCGCCACGGCAAGAGGTGTAGGACGACACAGATGAGAGAGAAACAACTGGAAAGGGGGAGGTGAAATTAACAAAAGATGCTGTAAGGTCAGAAGGTAAAAAAAGTTAATATATGAGAATCTATAGTCTCCCTACGTACAAACAATCAGGAAAGCCAGAGGAAGGAGAGGTCCCAGT